ATGCACTCTTCATAAAATCTAAAACCACCATTGATAGCCGTCGACATTAGCCAACGCGTGAATATCAGCTTATCACGCCAGTTAAAAAAATGAGACTCGAATCTCTGAAGATCTAAGATTTGAATCCCAGCAAGCACTATAAATAGAGCTCGTAATTTGTGGAAAAAGAGATGAGGGAATAAAAAAAAAGGCAAAGAAAAAAATTTTCAAAAAAAAAAAACTTTTCGTAAAAAAAAAATAAAACCATTTTACAGAAACAAAAAAAAAGTAGAAACAGTCCCCTGGAATAGGTAACCCAGCACCAGAGAAGCTACCTACAAAAAAAAATCAATTTTAGTTAAAAAAACTAAAAGTTTGAGCACCGATCTACGTTTATCAGGGCTGTTTCTAGCGAAAATAAGATCGGATCTGGAACGAGGACGAAAAAAAGAAGCGTTTAGGAGATTGTGAAATTTTTCGACCACCAACGATGGTGGCTGATGACCGATGAAAGGTGACGGCGAAGGTAGAGGCGCTGTCAGCTGACCATTTTTTTTCTTTTTCTGACTGAGTAAAAAAAAAATTTTTTTTTTTACTGAAGAAAAAGAATGAATGGAAATTTTTTTTTGACTTTTATATAGAAGACTAAACCCAAAACGACGTCGTTTCAATAATGTCCAAAACGACGTTGTTTTGAGACCTGAAGATCCTCTCATTGACCTACAACCCGACCCGGGATCCGCTTAACCAACCCGACGACCCGTTCTCCCTTTTGACCCTGATCGATCCATCTGAATCGGATCGCGTCTGAATCGTTGAACCGACCTAGACCGAACAGCTGACGTTGAACCGATCGAACCTGTCCAGACCTGCATTGACCCGACCGTTGACCGGTCCGATTCACGTAAAAAAAATTTTTTTTAAAGATTTTCTTATATATATTATTTTTGTTATTTTAATTATTATTGATATTTATGCATGTAAAAATATTTAAATTCATCAAAATAATTTTTTATGATTTTATAATATTAATTAATAATATAAAATTGATAAAAAAATAAGAAAATAAAATTTTATCCGACAATGAGATTCAAAGGTATTCCGAGTAGTGATGCCTACGAAATCTCTAAGTGAGAAGATTTTTTTAAAATACTACCAGTGTATTGGAGTATTTATAAAAAAAAATTTCAATACAATAATTTTTTTTTAGGTAATAAATAAAAATTGATTAATAAATTAAAAAATATAAGTAATAAAAATGAGAAGAAAAGAAATTTTATCCGATGATGAGATTCTAAGAGTATTCCGAGTAGAGATGCTTTAAAAATCCCTAGATGATAATATTTTTTATAAAATATTACTAGTGTATTGGAATATTTATAAAAAATCTTCAATATAATTAAATTTTTTTCTTTAAATTTCAATTAAAAATAAATATTAATAAAATAATTAATAAAATTTCTAACAAAAGAGAATAAAATGTGTGCATAAACATGATAACATTTTGCATTACATGCATGATATTTTTTTACGAAAAGTAAATTCGAGCCTCCGAGTTTGAGATTCTTAGGTATTCCGAAAAACGATGCCTAAAAAATCTCTAGGTGAGAAAAAGTTCTTCTAATGTTACCAACGTACTAAAATATTTTAAGAATTATTTCAATAAAAATGTTTTAATTTATTTTTCTCGAGAATAACAAATTTTTTCTAATAAAAAAAATCAAGAAAAATTATTTTTAAATACCAAAAATTAGATTATTTTTATCAAAATCAAAGGATAACACATAGTTAATTGGTACCATTTTTTACGGGTGCTGTTGGGGTGCTAATCCTTCTCTACGCATAACCGACTCTCGAACCCAGATTATTTCGTAGACCGTAAAATTATCTTTTTAATAAATTTTAATTAATTTTAAAACTTTATTAAAAGAATATGTTTTAATAGGTAGCCAATCGCATCTAGTCAAAAAATATTGATGGTGACTCCGTTATTTTTTATTTCGTTTTCAAATTCGTCGAGTGAACACAAAACCGTTATGATAAAAATTATAAGTTGATATTCATTGGAATAATTTTCTATGTGTTATAACCAAGTTTTTAGGTTTGAACATAGTGGTTTATTTTCATTGAACAAAAATAAAAAAAAAAAAGGTTTATTTTCATGAAATAACTTAAAATAGAAATAATTTAAATGATTTTACTTTAAACTTTACCTTTTTCTGTCATTGGGTTGATCTACTTTTGAGATCAAATTATTAAAATGATTATCCCGAGAACTTATTAAATTTAAGAAAAAAAATATTTGTTTACTTTGACAAGACTGATCAACAATCAACAATCATAATAGCTAAATAGAAACTTTGGTACAAAAAATAAAGGAACATATCGTCTCAATCATCTACGTTGAATACTATGTACTTCTATGACTTTGTATAATGGTAATTGTGATATGAAGGAAAAGCATGAAAGAATCGTAGAATTTGACATAGAAATAATGATTATTTTGAAGTTGGAAGGAAAAATGATGATAATTTCAGTCGGTGGACCCGATATTACCCCATCATCCATGAGGCATACAATTTACTTAAGAAGGAGTATTTCAAGTCAATTTTGCAATTGACAAATGGTTTAATCAGTCGCTCGCCCACCGACATGAAAGTCAAAATTTGAAAAGCAACTAGTGGAGAATGTGGATCGGATAGTCGTCCCGCATTAAAAGAAAAAAAAAATGATTTTGACATATTGAACTCTATAAGCAAACAAGAAAATTGTTGGCATTGGGAATTTCGAATTTTAATACTCATAATTTAAAAAAAAAATTAAAATTATTAACTTTTATGTATAAAAAAATGGTTAGGATTTAAGATAATACTAATAGGTAAACCATCAAGATCAACCTGTTATTTTGCTTTCTTGGTATTTGACCATCATTTCTAGTACTAATCTAAACTTAAAATCAATCCTGAAATTTTAAAAAAAATCTGAAAAATGTTCCACCTTGATGATTATTTCATCAAAATTTCCTTAATTCAATGTTTAAAAATTAAAAAAAAAAACAATGGAAGAAATGCATATGCATGATAGTATATACAGAAATGTATAAAGAAATGTGTAAAGAATATTTCTATTTTCAGATTCCAAGTCCAAAACCATAAAAAAGAAAAAAAAAAAGAAAAGATAAGCTATATACATGAGATGAACGATATCCATGCCCTTTTGCTGGGTTGGGTCCACTAGAGTGGTGGTGGTGGGGAAAAGGAAGATTGAAGGCTACTTATTCTGTCACTATGAAATGAACACAAGTACAAAACATTCATGCATTTAATTTTATTAATTTTGACCAAAACTTTGATCATTTCTTAACTTTTTCATGTGTCATAATTTTTTTTTATTTTTTAAAACATAGAGATGATAATATCAGTAGAATATTTTTCAATAAAAATATTAAAATAAAATTATTTATTAATCAATGCTATGATAAAAATAATTAATTAAAAAATATCAAATTTTCACAAAAATATCAAATTTTTTATTAATAAAAAATATAATTATTTTTATCCTAATATTTAATTAAATATAAAATTATACTCTTTTTTTTTTTAATTTTCTTTATCTATCTTTCTTTTTTTGAGATGTCTCAAAATTATATCCATTTTTTTAAACATCTAAAACTTTTACTTTTTTATATTTTAAAATTTTTATTTTTATTTTTTTACTTTTTAATATTAAAAATCATGAAACTTTAATTTTATATTTTTTTTAATTTTAACATTAAATATATTAAAGTCAAAAAAATTTTTAAACTTGATAAAAGTCAATATAAGACAAATAAATTAAGACAAAAAGAGTAATATGTACCCAAAAACATATTATATGTATGTTAAATAAAAAATAAAAAATTAACTTATTATAATACATATGTCAATAACCTAAAAAAATTAAGGTATATATATTTTTAAAAATTATGTTTGAGGATTTAAGGTACTTTGTTTCGTGTTGCCTCCTAGTATATATAAGAATATATATTTTATTATTTATTTAATTTTATATTTATATATGTGTATTATATTAATAAATTTATTATTTATTATTTTAATTTATTAAAACATTATTATTTATATATAATTAAAATATAATTTATATTAAAAATAATATTTTTATGAATGTTATATTATTAAATTTATTTTTTATTTCAGGTTAAATGCAGTTTATATATTTATACATATAATAGGTCAAGATTAGATGTAAAAAATAATAAATCGATCGTGGGTCAAAGTCAAGATGATTATAAACCTATCCTGACTTGATTTATTGTCATTCTTAACTTGAGGTATCTACGTAACACTTTTCTATGACTCTGTTTCTATATTATTAAATTTATTTTTTATTTCAAGTTAAATGCAATTTATATATTTATATTTATATATATAATAGGTCAAAATTAGATGTAAAAAATAATAAATCGATTGCGGGTCAAAGTCAAGATGATTATAAACTTATCGTGATGTGACTCATTATCATTTTTAACTTGAGATATCTATATAACACTTTTCTATAACTCTATTTATATATATATATATATTTGGATTTGTCTTTTTTTTAATTTTTAAATTTTAATTTACTAGTTTAATATTTTTAACTATGTTTATAAAGATAAATTCAAAAGAATGGATATGAATTTAATTTATTATATAAGATATAAAAATGAAATGTATATATTAAATTAATTGATAAATTTTTACTAATTATTTTTTATTAAAAAATTATAAATATTAATTAATTTATTAAATTTATCATAAAATACTATTAATTATAAATAAAAAATTAAATTCATAGCAACGTGCGGACGTAATGCTAATAATTGATTAATGTTGCACCCCACATGCCTTTGTTTCTTGAAAAATCCCAATGGCAAGTCAAGCCAACAACTAATCTGCTGTCTTTATGGGACCACAAAATTCATAATTACAAACTTAGGGCATATTCAGTGCATTTGGATATTGGAGGGAGCTCACACCAAACATATAATTATACTTTTTTAGATGTCACATTTGATTCACAATCCCTATTTTTAACCATGCCTTACCCGTTAAGGAAGGTCGTAGAGTCAATTTGGTAAATGAATTCGGCAGCGTGAGTTGCAAGTCAGTATAAGAATATAATGCTTTCACTGACTATTAGTACATAATCAAGTTTTTTCATCTTCATCTATAAATGCTTTATAACATGAATAGTTATTTCCTCTTACAAGTTAGATTAAGCTCTTTGAGATTCTGCCAAACAGAAAAAAAAAAAAAAAAAAAGAGATATTTTCAAATAAGCAACTTCATTTTTTCCTTTTCTCTTTCTTAATTCTCTTGGGGAAACGTTCTTGAGGCTCTAGAAGGACTTCAGAGAGCATCTCTGACCAAAGCCTTGCAAATTGTTTATGAAAACTTTCCCGAAACCAGTCAAGAATTTCTGAATGTAATGCCCTGGAATTTTCCTCCCATGTCTCTCTTAACCGAGCACAACTGTCGATTGACAATGCCTTCAACTTATGTAAAAGATTTCCAACTCGTCTTTGACCATATGATTCTGGCTTTAAAATGATATCGGGAGAGGCTGACATGAATGGCTTAACAGAACTTAAGCATGGTAATACTTGGCCTTCGAGCAAAGCAAATGCGAATACTGTAGCACGATGTGCATTGCTACTGATCCGCAAATTATGCATTGGAAGTTGCCATAGGTGAGGCCCAAAAGTGGGAACTACCCAACAATATACTTCGTCTGTTTGAGGATCGTAATAAGGCCTAGGATCAGGAAGAGGAGCAGAAAAAGTGCAATAAGACTTGGCATATTTAACAAGCCAATCTGATTTCACACTTGTCGCCCCGTGCATGTATGGCCGTTTTGTATGTAATAGTTCACTGTACACCAAGAACTCCGGAGCAGATCTCGAAAGGGATGAAGACCGATGGAGAAAGACAGTTTCTTTAACCATGCATGCTTGATACCTAACTGTATTTACCTTTCCATCTCCTTCAGATGAACTTGAAACTCCTCTGATGAGTTTGGCAACCCTATCAGCCCAACCAGCACAGATTGCTTGGCCTAGGAGCTCTTCCTCATTCAGTAAAAGTGGGTTCTTACTGGACGAGACCCTCCAAGAGTGTTCTACATCTTCCATAGTTCCATGAGTCCACGAGAAATCCCGTTCAACATCACGATGAACATTTTGATTAAAAACCAACTGAAGAAGCTGCTTTCTTAGCTTTGACATTTCTTCCATGGTTTTCAGATGTAATGCATTCTCATTGCAGAATTCTACTTGGCTTTTTGAAAGCTCAAAACACTGTAATGCATACGAAACAGTAAGAGTATCACTGCTAGGATTAGAGAATTTAGCACGTGACATTTTGGCCATTTCTCTGAGTTTCTTTTTCCTTGATTTTTCTTTTTTGTTCAAAAGTTTCTCACTATCTATGCGATCAGATACATCGTCCCGCTTTGATTCATCAGAACGAGTGTAGCTTTCTTCATACTGCATGACAAACGGATTTGTTGAGCTCAAAACTGCAGCCGCTGCAACTGCATATCCAAGAACCAAATTTGCCCGAGCATAATCTTTCACCCTCCTCATTATTTGGATAACAGTAAGGAGCATCCTTGAGTGGCGAGGACTCATTGGATAATGAGCCATGGCTTTTCCCAGAGATGTCAACCTTCCATTGCTATCAAGTGCTTCAAGGGCTTTCAGGCAACGCTCTGCTTCAACCAAGGCAGTGGGCCCTGGAGACGTTGGAAATGGGAAATTTGCAACCTGAAAGTACAGAAAACAGGACATAAGTATTCATTGAACAACTTCAAATTTTAGATGAGAAGTAGTTAATGTAGGTCAACTGGACTAGTAACCACAAAACCTACAATTTTAAGGGACCTTATCAAAAGGTCCATTAACAGATCAAGAATTACAGGGAAACCAAAATGGACATTACTAACTGCCAGTTAACAAAGTAAAGAAACAATTAGCTCTACAAGGCAGAATTATACACAATGGCCGTCCTAGAGGGGTAATATAAACAAAAATATTTTTGAATATCCACCTCTGACCGAATTCAGATTATTTAACAGAACCACAAATGATCCCTTATCATAAATGTGCATCAGCAGAAGCTAATGGGTGAAAAAAATATTTCTCACAGGCCAAATTTTGACAAAAGAAAAGAAATATCTATGTGTCTACTGATCCAAAATATTAACCCTCAACATAAGTTATCTGACATAGGCACCATAAGGATCTCAATATGAAACTTTTGTAAAGAGATAAAGACAAACAACAAAACAAATGCAAAGCTCACCTTATCAATGCCCATGGATTTCATAAGAAGAACAATACCATCAACTGGTATTTTAGATATTTCAGTGCAAGAGAAGTCAGGAAGTATGTTATTAAAGACTGCAGGTGAATAGAGACGATAGCAATGGCCAGGACCGGTTCTTCCAGCTCTTCCTGCTCGTTGAGCAGCAGATGCTTTACTTATCCATTGTATCTCATAGGATTCCATGCCATTGGTAGGATTATAATTCTTGACCTTTTCTCTCCCAGTGTCAACCACATACTTAATTCCAGGGATGGTTAAAGAGGTTTCAGCCACATTGGTAGCCACAACAACAAGCCGCTCTCCATCATTAACCTCTTCAAATACACGAAGTTGTGCTGCTGCGGGTAGCATGGCATAAAGAGGTAGAACTCGTAGTGGACCAGCATTAAGGCTTCTATTACCTTCACTAATTTTTTCAATGGGGGCAGAGGGTTGCTCTAGGCTGCTCTCTGGATTAATAGAGACAGCCTCTTGTCCCTCAGGATTAGAGTCTAATCTGCTTTTCCCAGCCAAAGCTTCGAAAGCAGCCTTAAGTGAAGCAAGGCTTCCATCCCCTCCTAATACATCAACCAAGTTATCACCATTTTCCATGGATTTCTGATCTAATTTGTTCCCATCCTCAGCAAAAGTTTCCAGTTCACTCTCCGTCTCAGAATCATAAGAAGCATCTGAATCATCCTCGTCATAATCATTCTTATCTTCATCATAAGAGCTGAACCTGTCAGTCTGCTGGTGGGTTGAGTCTCCATTAATCTCGAATGCTTCACTGACATCCTTCATATCAATGTCCTCAACCGAGTTGATTTGAGAGGAAGCAGTGGCCACAGTACTTTTGTCCCTGTTAGAAATACTAGCAGTCACCTTCCCAGAAGCCTTGCGTAGCCTTCGACACAAGTATTCTACTTCTCTCTGTCCAGTGACAAAAACAAGTATGCCACCTTGTGGCAGTCTCTTATTTATAGACATTACCTTTTTGAAGGCTTGACCAATGTAATCCACAAGCTCTGTTCTCTTCGAGAAATGTATCGTGACTGGATATTGTCTAGTAGGAACCTCAATTACAGGAGGAGGAACAAGAAATAACCTTCTCCCAGATATGAAGTCCTCCACTCGCAGTGTAGCACTCATCAAAACAAGAGTTAATGGAAGTATCATGTTTTCAGGGCCTATACTTTGTCCTGAAAGCACCATCTGCTGTTGCTTCTCATACAAATCCTGCCATCAAGCACAATATTATACAGTAAGGATAAAGGTGACCATAGAAGAGAATAAATTCTGTTTATTGGCCCAAGGTAGAACAACATCGTTCAAGTTTCACCTGACGAAGTTGAATTACACGAGAAAGCATTCCAATAAGTATGTCTGTGTTCAAGCTCCTCTCATGAGCCTCATCCAGAATAATGACAGAGTAGTGCTTTAGTAAAACGTCATTCTGCACCACATTATGTGAAGATAGAATAAGAATATAAAAGTGAAGGTGGTAAAGGAAGATTGAAAGATATTTATTTTTCATGCACAGTCATCAGCAGTATCACAGAAAAGATATATATCAACAGTAATTGGAAGTAAAACCTGAACTTCTCGAAGTAAAATGCCATCAGTCATAAACTTGATAGAGCATCTGTCCCCAATCTTCTTGTCATGTCTAACTTGAAACCCAACTTCTTTACCTAAATTAAGACCAAGTTCAAAAGCAACTCGCTTGGCAGTAGCAAGGACAGCAACACGACGAGGTTGAGTAACACCAATGACACCACTTCGAAGAGTAGACCGGTTTGAACCAAAGCCAGCTTCATAAAGAAACTGAAATATTGGAACACAAATAGGATAACAAAAAAAAAAAGAATTATTGAACAGAAAACTAGTTTTTATATCCCAGTAAGTAGACAGAATCATGCATCAACAACCACACCTGAGGAACCTGAGTGGTTTTACCGCATCCAGTCTCTCCACAAATTATAACAGTAGAATTCTCATTTATAGCCTCCATTATTTCCTGTTCCATCATGACTATTGGAAGATCCTTCCTTTTGTTCTCAATTTCAACTGGCCTGGAGACATGCACTACGGTTGGGACAGAAACATGTCCCTGCAAAGAACAAAGTTGAGTATGACAAGCCCTGTTGAGATCAGTGTTAGGTCTATTTGATGAACCCTACCTCATGTAAAAACACCATAGCAAATAAGCCAACAACATAAAATAGCAAACAAACATCAAGAAAATATGAGGAAACTAAGTTTGAAATTTAATTGAAATTAAACTTGAAAATAACGTTTTTTAAGTCACAATGGATCTTGCTTATGCTTTCAATCTTTTCATAACATCCAAAAGTTTAAATGCTTCTAACTTATGATCTATATAGCAACTAAATACATAAAGGGACAAAGCTTGGTAAACAGTAAATTTGTGGGCAGTTTTTCCTTGCTGGGCACAAAGTTTAATATATGCATGATATATATACAATGTCCCTTTAGGGCAGTTATTCATTCGATTTGATATATTAAACTCAAATCCAACTTACCATTACCATAGAGCTTTTTCTCCCATCATTGACAGACAACTTAGGAATACAGGTTTTAATGCCTTCTTCTAAAGGTGCACCGTTGTCCTTGAGGGTAACCTCCATAGTTGGCAAGGTATGAACAGGACTGCAGCTGAGGCCTAGGTCCTTACCAGAAACCAACTCCTGAGATGATGCCAATGTGTCACATGCATGGCTTGCAACTTCTCTCTCTATCATCATTGGTTGCCCGATGTGATTCTTACTAATATCCTTACATGATTTTATTTCCTCCAACTCAAGTTCAGGTTCAGAAGAAGAACACAAATTATCGCCCTCCCTCCCATTAGAAAATTTGTCACTATGTGGAACTTCTAAACCTGCTTTCGAAAATTGAATAGCTCTCCTACGTTTTTCCCGCATTGTTTCAGCCTACATAAAGCAAACTAACATTAAGCATTATATTGTATGATTAAAATTTGGTATAGAATAAATGATACAAACCCGACCAATTGTTTTTGAAGACTGCAGCAAAGAATATGCATCTTCCGGAATCTTGTATTTCCTGAAAATGTAAATGTTATAGTCAAACATTCAATAACTTTTCTCAACAAATACAAACAAAGTAGGATACATTATTTAGAAAAAGCAAGAAAAAGTACTCCAATGTCTCAATGCTCTTTGATAGCAAAAGTGTTTTCTCTTTCTCCTCCTATACCAGCAAAATAAAAGTCATCTCCCTAACAAAAAAAAAATGAAGGAAAGGAAGTTGGGTATCAATTATCAAGAAAGAACAAGAACCTCCAACTTCTTCAACTTTCTTATCTGAGATTTACTCAATTTGGGGATTTGTTTCTCTTTGACCCTTTCAAGCCCCTGTAGACATAAGTATTTGACCACAAGTTCTCACTTGATATGATCAAAACAAAAATAAGGGCTAATGGAAAATTCACTATTTATACCTGATTCTTCACTTTCCTTTTCTTGCTTCTTTTCGTAGGCAAGATTAATGCATTGCTATCGTTGACTTCCAAGCTAGAAATGCATGCAAACAGGATTCTATTAATGTCTACCAAACACTAAGAAATTAAAAGCGGGGTGAAAAAATAACTTAGAACTATCCAAACTAAATATTTTGACATGCATGTAAACAAGCACTTTACCTAATAAACATATTTAAACATAAAAAATCCTTAGTAATGAAAAAAAAAAATAGAAAACTTGTTTTCTATAATTTTGCAACAAATAAACAGAGTAAGATTAAACTGTTCATATACCTCACTGAATCGTGTCCCGTCATCAACTCTACAGGTGGGCAAGAATTTTCCATTTTTCCTCCTTAATATAAGCTCAAATAAGCCTGGATAAGAAAAAGAAGGTACCTTTGAGTTTTGGAAATTATATCCAATTCCTCCACTTCAATTTCTATATCCACTTTCTAATGTTGTTAAATTTGATTAGTTTCTCAAAACAAAATAAAAAAGACAAAAAAATTTTCTAGAAACCGAAAGGAAGTAAAGATATTTAGCAAAGTACCTTTGACAATTTTAGCATAATTTTATAAATAACTAGTATAGACTTGCTTCAATACATATGAGAACAAAATTGAAAGAATAAACTCAAAACAAAAAATTTTGAAATACTCATAACTGGATTACGCGAATGACATTAAAATCAAAACCAAATCAAAATGTCCGGTACCTTCACAACAGCAGAAAACCCGTATGAGGCGGTGGCCAGAGACGACGGCAGATGTACACCACGTCGGGGATAAGTGACTTTGTTTTCAGAAAATAAAGAATCGTTGCGTTATCTTAAGATATTACTTTCGCTGAGCAAAATAATTTACTGACTTTTATTTCCGGAAAACAAGAGAGGGGCTGCACCCGCCTAGCCGAACCAAAACCCGCTGAGGTTTAAGACGTTACATATAAAAATGTCGAAAACCCTAGGCTTTGACCGTGATTTCCGTCTAATGAATAATTAAACCTGAATTGGGCGCCATAAATAACCCAAATTATTGGGCCTTTTATTGGTTAAAGCCCTAAAATCATAACCAAAAAATAGAAGAGCCCAAACTAAGAAGAAACTAGGCGGCCTGTTCAGCATTTGGATCTTATCCATTCTTCTTTTTGACGGGCTTTAACTATCCCACCCCCCCCCCAAAAAAAAGAAAGATTTCATGAATTATAAAATTATTGCAAAAAATATGTAGAAAATACAAATCTAGTCGAAATTCTACCCTTTTTTTTCCCCATAATACTAAGATTGAGGACTAATAACCTGTTAATCATGATTTAAGTTTTTATGAAAACAAGTCTATAAATCTTACCTCTCCATAACTCCACATATGAATTGGTTTTTTAACTTAAAAATTGAGATGTTAAAATTTAAATTTTAAATATTAAAAATAAAAATTTAATACTTCTTAAATAATTACGACTTTTAATTACAATTAAATGTAATACACTTGAAGTTGAAACGTATACATCAATAAATATAATTTATTAATGATTCAATACTACTTCCGAGGAATTGAAATTATTGATTTTTCAACTTATTATTTTTATTTAATTATATTTAATAAAAAAAAAGGTACAACATTAAACAAATTCATGATCTCCAAAATTTTCTACCTAAAATTCATCTTCCTTTACAAAGGTTTAGGATGAAGCCCGTTTGACTTGTTGCAACGTAAAGAAGCAATTAGAGCATCAAAATAAATGGTGCCTAGTCACACTACATTATTTTGAGATAGAAAAGAATAATTTTTGAGATTAAGAAAGTAAATTCTTGTGTCGGCTAAGCAAAATCATCCGGAAAAAAGGCCTACTGGCATTGACGCATTAGTTGGTAGGGTGTCAACAAAACTTGGCTCTAACTAGCACACGTACTCGCATGTGCTGCTGCTTCAACGTCTCCCGCTTAGAAAAACGAGGGAATATGAATAAATCAGTCGCAAAGTTTGTTTATTGTTCTTCTTTTTTTTTTTTTTTAAGTTACAGGATTTTTGAAACCATCTTTAGATGTTGATCTTGCATTTCCAATTAATCATTGGCAGCTAAGGGCTAACTGTGCTTATCTTTAACATTAATCAGATGGAGCCCATTGCAAATTTGTCGTCTTAACTTTTTTTTTCTTTTGCATGGCTATTGGCAACATCGACACGATTTAACAGTTTGTATCTAATCATTTTTAGAAATGAATACAGGCTGGAAATTGGAGTGAATGAATGATTAATAAACTTTGAATGGTTAGAACCCATGTCGACCACAAGACAAGATATGGTGGAAGAAAATATGTCTTCCAGAATTCCACTGTTTCTATCTCAACCTGACTCCCAACCTTCTGTTCCGTTTCTTAGTATGTTCCAGAGGGATTTTGTTATCCCTTTTCCTCTTTTTTCCCTTTGGTGAAGGATATTATGCAAACTTTTTTTTAAAAGAGATTTGAAAATAAAAAGAAATTACAAATGTTAAAATTTAAATTTTTTACTCATTAAATATTAATTTTTGAGAATAAATGTACGAATCTAGGGAATTAACCATCCGATTCATGCATTAATACAAACTTCATTTCAACATACGTAGAAAGCCCTGGATGCTTGAGTTCTATTCAGATTTTTTGGTTGTATTATCAAGTAATTAACTAAGATAAGAGTTTGTATAGTTCAACAATTAACCTAAGAAGGAAGAAATACTGACAGCAAGAAATTTTTTAATGATTGTATTATTTCGTTGTATGCTTATCTACTGCGTACGTCCAAAATGCTTGTCCTCATCCTCAAATGTGGCATAGGATTTTATCAAAATTGCGAAGGCGTATTATTGATCATAATCCATTATTGTCCTTATTAATCACAACTGAAACAGATATAAAACCCTTTTAGGGTCAGATTCATTCTTGATTGCGTGAGGTGGAGCCCAACTATCTCATCTGTTCAATGTAAGGGTGTGGAACAGTGATTTTATGACTCGAGTTAAGCAGAACAGATTTTCAAAAGATATCGAAAGGCCAACTAAGAAAGTCAATTGAATACTTTATGAATGTGTGAATTAGTACTGTTTGACATTAGTGGGAACTTGTTGGCCCATTTTATTGATTAAAAAATTATACGATTATCATTGGGCTGACACATCAACTTAACCATGCAAATTTTAAAAGCTAGAAATTCATTTATTCAAGATATTCATTTTTGACGTCTTTATCATCCATCTCTCATACAATTTGATTGGAAAATATATAGTACTTTCATGACAGGAATTCGATGTATTTTCTGGCAAATTTGAGGTCAAGTTAGGCAACCATTCATAGCAATAATGCAATAGATATCCGACGTCAGGGTCTAACCTAGTTCCGTATCAGGATTCCAAGTATCTATAAAAGGGACGTCCCTTGGCCTATGAAACTCATCATTCTCCAAGCTAGATTTCAATTGAAAGATGGGCGCCAGAATGTTATTGAGGTCTCTGCTATTGCCCCTCATCTTTGTCTTGGCCCTAGCCCCATGGTCTTACGGGCTGAGCCGAGGGCAACAGCTACCTTCTTTAGCTGCTACATCTACCACATTCCAATACCATGGAGGCCCTCTCTTAACCAAGCCAAATGGCATTAATGTTTACCTGATATGGTATGGAGGATTCTCTCAGAAAGATAGAAACTCCATAACTGATTTCTTCGCTTCCTTCACGAGCCCTGCTACTCGCCAAGGACCCTCTGTTTCGACATGGTGGAGAACAATTAGTACATACAAGGACAAAGCGGGGAAACCAGTTTCCAGCACTGTTAGACTTGTCAAACAAGTTGGTGATCTATATTCTTCAGGGAAGGCCCTGAAGCGCGCCCAAATAGCCAACTTTGTGAAAAGCAAGATCGATAGCAAAATCTTTCCATTAGACTCCAATGGAATATACTTGGTTTTGACTGCTAAAGATGTAGCAGTAGAGCGCTTCTGCATGGGATCGTGCGGTTTCCATGAGAGCATAATGGTAGGGGCAATGGTTCGAGTGGTATTCGCCCACGTCGGAGACCCCACGGTCCAATGCCCTGGTCTTTGTGCATGGCCTTATGCTCTGCCTGCTTATGGCCCTCCAGGCCAAGCCTTGGTGGCACCTAACGGTGTTGGAACCGATGGCATGATTATAAACATTGCCACCCTTGTTGCGGGGGCTGCCAGTAACCCATTCAAGTCCGGTTATTTTCAAGGAGATGCCTTGGCACCGTTGGAGGCTGTCACAGCCTGCCCTGGAATATTTGGCCCTGGAGCTTATCCAGGGTATCCTGGAACTTTGTTGGTCGATAAAATGAGCAAAGCATGTTATAATGCCTATGGTGTTAATGGTAGGAAATTTCTTCTTCCGGCTATCTGGGACCTGATTAGCTTGAATTGCAAAGTAGCTACTTGAGTTTTCTTATGAAGGGATAAGCTCGATCACAGATTTATGCAAGGAATGTTACAACTAGGTTTAAAGCCATGTAGAACCCCATAATAATTATTGAACTAGTTAATGATATCCTGTATCTCCAAATGAATGCCCTTCCTCCCTTTTTTCTTTTTTTTTGGTTAAGGAAAGACGTACATTTTTTGCACTCCTACAAAAGGAAATTATATGAAGACAACACCCTTGGTTATACATCTGTCACTAAATGGATGCCCTTCTTTCTTTGCTTTATAAAATGGAAGAAAACACCCGTTTATGCATCAAGATTCAAGAGAATTCCGTATGTATCTTTTTCTTTTTTTTTTGATTCAAAAGAAGACAAACGCCAATACGAGAGGGAAAGAGGATGACGGGATTAAAACCCACGCCACATGTCTTAAAGCCTCTTAACCACTAAGCCAAAAGGTGAAAGACGAATTCCGTATGTATCACTGTATAAACAAGGGTGTTTTCTCTTAACTATGTAACAGTCTCCTTACAAAATGAGGGAAGCTTTCCCCTTATTAGCGAATTAATTATGGCTACTCTTTCACCACATTAAAGGCATCAACAATTTGAAGCCAATGGGAAACCTCAAGTATATTGTTTTCCATATTCAGAACATGAAAAAAATCCCGGTTGGATTCTATTTCGTATTCCAACTGATTAAGAAAACTGGTTTCTAAATTAAAATCTGGGTAATTGATTTTTAAGTCAGGGAATCAAGTCTCCTCTAACAAAAAAGCTTCAGTCAGAGGGGCCAATCATTTTCTCAGGCACCACAAGAGTGTCAAATTCTTCGCTTGTGAGAACACCAAGCTTCAATGCTGCTTCCTGCAAAGATAAGCACAAAAAAAGTCGGTTTGATTTAATACTGCAGACATCCAAAGTAAGGATTAAGGACAAACATTGAACAGTGCCAGTATGAGCACAAATTATGAGACCTAAATAGGTCAAATTTCCATTGGAAATCCAATTTCAAGCAATTAACAATAAGAGATAATTTATTAAGATAGTTGTAGTTAAGCATGACAGACATTTAATCAGATTAGGTGATGAGTCATTGCTAATTACTATTGCATCAAAAGATATTCAACAACTGAACCACAAGGGAAAAGAACAAATCTCGCCTTTAAAGTGCGCCCTTCCTTGTGAGCTTTCTTGGCAACTGCTGCAGCATTATCATAACCAATTTTCTGGAAGCAAAGAGGTGAGTAGATATGCATTCAAAATGCAAAGACTGTTGTGGAACAACTGATCATAGACAAGAAACAGGGATGAAAACTTACAGGGTTCAAGGATGTGACGAGCATTAGAGACTGCAAGACCATGCAAAATGTCACAAGGCAGCAACATATGATCATTAGCTTGGGAATCAGTCAATGGTATCAAAATAAACCTAAATATACAGTATGTAGCATCAACTGACCTCATGCAGTAATTTTGAAATTCTTTCCCTATTAGCTTGAATTCCCCTCACACAGTTCTTCTCAGAGGAAGCAGATGCATCACCCAACAATCTTAGTGACTGACAACAAAGAATCAAGAACAACAGTTGAATGAGCATGAACACATTCAATAATATAGCCATCTTATCAGCATCTTAAGTGGGAACAAAATCTCAAGGAAGGTCAAGCGCATGATAATCAAATATCAAATTCTAAGAGTATTTTTTAAAACTTTTATGAAATCTTAGGAAATGAAGAGATTTGGCCTTTCAAATGAGCAGTTAATTTACAGAAATTAGATATTTTCATGCACAAAATTCCATGGACTATAATTTTTAGAACTTTCAAAGGTAAAAACTGTGTTAACCATCACTAAACAGCCAAAATACCAATACATCTACGAAGAGTTGCTAGCCTAACCATGCATTGTTAAGATAAATGATACACAAGGAACTAGAAAGTGTTGAAATTATAAGAAGTGAAATTTCTCTATAACTTTTGTAACAACAGAACATACATGTAGGAGTGCACTAGCAATCATTGGCTTGAACACATTCAATTCAAAGTGGCCATTTGATCCACCCACAGTTATAGACACATGGTTACCCATAACCTGCAAAGAACTTTTCCATCTTGTTACAGTCTGATAAAAGAAAATGACAATTTAACTGCCAGCAGATAAACTCTCCAGTTGGTCAATACCATCTGAATATGAAAAAAATAATAGCAACAAAATTACCTGGGCACAGACCATAGTAAGAGCCTCACACTGGGTAGGATTCACCTTCCCCTGAAACAGAATAAGTTCGGTCAAAATAACAAGATTATAAGGGAAGAGAAATCTTTGAAATGCAAATAGAATAGAAAAAGTTGGACTTTGATAATAAATAAATCCGTGGAAATTAAGATGAGAATTTTACAGGCATAATACTGCTGCCTGGCTCATTTTCAGGAAGAATGAGCTCACCAAGGCCACATCGGGGACCACTGAATAAGGAAAATGCTGAAACCATCAGATTAATGCTAAACGACAAGGTAAAGAAAGTGATTATCCTAGCTGCACACAAACCTTCCCAGTAAGCGTATGTCATTTGCAACCTTCATCAGGGATGTAGCTATAGTGTTTAGGGCTCCGCTAGTTTCAACAAAGGCATCATGTGCAGCCTGATTAAAGAAAAAGAAATATTTGTGCATGTGAAACTATTTTTCATTACAAGTTAAGAGACCTAATGTAATGATCAATTCCTTCAACCTAAAACAAAATAAAAAAAAAATGCTTAATCGAGAGAGTTAAGAGATTAACCAAAGCTTCAAACTTATTTTCTGCTGTGACAAATGGTAAGTTTGTTTCATCAGCTACTGCGGCAGCTATTTTTACATCAAACCTAAATCAATTTTAACATTGAGCCCTGTCAAATTAAGAATGAGACAATCTAAAGGAACATGGTTATGACTATATATAATGCTCTCAGATAACGGTAAACATTATTCATAATATTTTCCTTTTAAGATTCACAGTTTGCAAACTCGGTGACAACTACTTCAATTCATGGGGCAACAGCTAAGACATCTATTAATATGAAAATAACAAGTAGAAAGTTTAGAGAGGTAATATAGTTTTAAACAAATATTCACAGATCAATCAGTGTCTCTGAGTATAAAATAATAAAGATAAAACATGAATTACAGCTTAGAAGGGAAGTATGAATCATAAAAGTCTTGGATCTTAATAAATCATAGTGAAATCAAAGCAAACCAATTAAAATAAATCAAGAATATGATACTAGAACAAAACAAAATCTAAAACTGGAAAAGGAGAATAGACGTAATTACAAAATCAGAGAAGTATGCTTCAACCCTAAAGCAGCACATACCCTTTCGTTGTATTCAATCCTGTCCCCACGGCAGTACCACCTTGTGCAAGCTGTCATAAAACATCTATATGTCAGCAGTCAGAAAAGGTTAAAAGGAATATCATACATTCAAACATGATTGCAAACCTGATACATGCGTGGAAGGGTACACAAAACCCGATCAATTCCATACTTGACCTATAAGCAAACCGCAAAATAATTATAAGCTATCCCTCATTGCCATCCCTCCAGTAACATAATTTGACCCCAAAGTAAATAAAAGCATGTGCTAGATAATGAGCTTACTTGTGTAGTATAGCCACTAAACTCTTGACCAAGAGTCAAAGGTGTTGCATCTTGAGTGTGAGTGCGACCAATTTTAACAATATCTTTGAATTCAATAGACTGGTGAAAACAACACGAGCAAAATTTAGCTTGAGTTTGAAGTCATCCAAATTAAAAGTAAGCTGGTATAGGAGCAAACAAAAAACACAATGACAGAATTAAGAGACATTAGACTCAGTAGCACACACACACACACACACACACATATATATATATATATATAGATTTACAAGCAAAGTAAAAAAGGAATATAAGTTGTTTTGTGGCTACTCACATGATTCACAATGATGAATCCGGAGACAATAACATTACAAAGACTAAAGATGCAGCACAACATCATTGACAGGAGTCAAGTTAACTTAAGGTACCAAAGAGGTACGATTCAAACAAGAAAATATTGACATCAATAAAATCGGGCATGGCCATTAAAAAAAAAAAACCCTTTTTCTGGCAGTAGATGGTGATGTGATAATTGATGTGAATAAGGACATGGTGCAACAGTGGCATACAAGGCAGAGATCTCCAATTTCAAAAAGATAAAAAGAAAAGAAAGGTGAGAGAAAGAGAGATTAAGCATAAAAAATGCATTAAACTAGTGGCAAAAGCACAGAAAACCTTTGAATGTAGAGTGGAATGCAAAATCTTCAACTTAGGTATTAATCTTGAGTTTATTTCCATTGCAGCTGCAATGTGCATTACCTAGAGAAAGAAAAAAAAAAAAAGGAAATGTAAAATAAGCAAATTGAAAGCACAAAACCTGCCATGTTAAGGCAAGGCCACATATATTACCATGGGTGAATTTTTCCATGCAGAAAATTTAATCTAAAAGGCAGAAAAAGAAACCAAAAAGTAAGATAGGTAAGTCCCGCTTACAGTGGGGAATGTGTCATTAGAAGATTGAGATCTGTTCACATGATCATTCGGGTGCACAAACTTTTCACCACGTTTATGCCTAAGGATCTCAGCCGCTCTATTCGCAATAACCTGGAAAAAAACCCACAATTACAAAACAAACTAAAATTTAAGTATAATAACGATTTTCAAATGACAAGAATTTTCACTCCACTCAATCATTAATCAATCAAAAAAAGGGTTACCGACCTCATTGGCATTCATGTTACTCTGAGTGCCACTGCCAGTTTGCCAAACAACGAGCGGAAAGTGATCGTTGAGTTTCCCTTCGGCTACTTCTTGAGCTGCTTGCATTATGGCTTTCCCAATGGTTGGATCAAGACCATACTCCATGTTCACCTAAACCAACCAAAAAAATAATAATAAAACAAATACATTTAAAAATATGCAGAGTTATCACTACAAATTACTTTAAAATTAACAATTAATTGGATTTAATGATCAGATTAGAGATGAACCTTGGCAGCACATTTCTTGAGAACACCAAAGGCACGAATAATAGGTTCAGGCATTCGTTCACGCTCGCCGCCTATTTCAAAATTCTGTAACGATCTCTGTGTCTGCGCTCCCCACAATCTATATCAATCGTAAGTCCGTAACAACAAATATTAATGGTGTAAATGGAAAAAGAATAAAAAAAGAAGTGATGAGAGGGAGAGACGAACTTATCGGTGGGGACATTAATGGGGCCAAAAGTGTCTCGTTCCTCCCTAAACGACGTCGAGTAGGATCTCCAGCAAGTGGCGTAACGGAGAGAATTGACCAGCTGAGAGGTGGTGGGTCCAGCGGAGAGTCGCCGATATACGATATACATCGCCATGACTTGGCTTTTACTTCAAAAATATCAAATCTTGAGTAATAATAATAAACAAGCAAGACATTCAAGATTAAGATTTTCAAATAATTGAATTGTAAGAAAAAAAAAAAAACCATAGTTATTGAGAAGAGAGGGAAAAACCTGATCAAGGTTTTTGGAGAAGGACAGGGATGGATGAGATGGAAATTGGGTCAATTAATGGGAATTGGTTACACGTGACGCCGGAGTTGTGGGATATTTCCAGCTTTGTTTTTGGAGGGTAAAACAAAATCAAGCAGAGAGCAGAAAAAGAACCGTTTGATGGGTAGCTTGCTTTTGCTGAATTGCTGTGGAATGGGTCAAAGGTAGGCTGTGACGACTTTATTTAACGGAGATTTTTCTTTTTCTTTATTTTTCCTTTTTTTGGTAACTAATTGTTATATATCACGCCAATATATCTCCCAAATTCCACTATAGGCAAATCCTTCAGTAATCATAATGGGCTTCTTTTTGGGCCGAACTGAATGGCCTTCTGAATGATACATTGATACTTCTAATCAATACATTATATTTTTATAACATTATACTAAAATTATTTTTGAAGAAGGTTCATTTTATCGCCACATTAAAATCAGAAACTGATTTATTTATATTGGTAATTAATTTTTTAAATTACATAAATCTAATTATCTATTATATTAAATTAAAATCATTCTCGAGAGAAGTTCATTTGTTGCCGTATGACAATCATGAACAATTTTGTTATATTATTAATTAATTTTCTTTTTTTTAAAGTTATTTGAATTTAATTATTCATAATTTTATAATATTTAATATTCATAAACTTAATTAATTGTAAATAATTGTACTTAATGTTTAATGTTTTTTAAGTCTAATATTTTGAATCTGAATTCATATTTATTGAATAATATAAATATACATGATTCAAATTCATATCGTTTTTTAATTTTTTTTATTTTAAATTAGATTAATAAAAATATCAATAAACTTAACTATTTATGAATTTATAATATTTATAAATTTAATTAATTGTAAATAAATATGTTTAATATTTAGTGTCATTTATTGAGTAGTATAAATACCCATAAATTTGATTGTTTTTGTCAATATATGCTCATTGAGTGTATTCATTTAAATTATTAAAAAATAAATATAAATTATAATTTTTTTATACATTTAAAAATTTTATTTCAAATTTTTTTATGCTTTAATACTTTATAAAAAGTGCAAATTGTTGATTTTGAATAATTAAAAATTAAATTTTTATTTTAAATTTATGCATCAAGAGTTGAAATCGAATGAATTTGTTGATGGTAGGTAGTTTTTATTAAAAGTCACATGTTACTCTTTTAGAAAAATATGTGTTGTTTTTTTCTTATTGATAATAAAAATTTTGTAAATTTTTACCAAATATCTATTCTAAAATAACTTTTATCTAGTAAGAATATCATAAGTGAAGTGTGGGTAATAATCCAAAAATTATTATTATCAAATTAAACAACAAAAATTTACTCTTGGACAAAAAAAAATTGAAGACAAAATAAACTATTTCATCTCAATGTAATTGACATTTTAATAAATGTTAATGTAAACTTTAACCATCACTTAAATTAATCTCAACAATAAAAAAAACGTTATGAAACTTATGTGTAAATTTGATTAAATTTTAGGTTGAATTTGTTAATTACTTTACTTTTTATTATTATCCTTTTTATTTGCACATCTAAATTTATTAAAAAAATTGCAAATCATAAACAAACTCATCAATACCAATATATAATATGATATTATTATATATTGACATTTGTTTTATGACCTTTCTGGTTAACAAACTTATCCAAAGGGATCCTATTATTCCTATGGATGACACTTGTCCGATTGACATTTGTCATCTCTTTATTGCTCAGAAGAAATGTTACAAGGAGTAATGGGCAGAGTTGAAAGATGTGCAGTGGGCTAGAAATAAATGGGCTGTTTTGCATTTGGGTGTACGGAGATGAGTTTATTTGGGATTTTTGTTTTTGCGATTGATTTGGGCTTTGGGCTTCTCATAAGAAAATGTATTCGTCTTAAAAACAAGTATACTTATTATTGGACCGTCATTAGTTACGACTTAATTAGCTTTTAAAATTTATTTAGTCAGCATTAGCATGATAAATGAAAGAATGTTTTAGCGGGAAGAAAAAGAAGTAAACTAAATTACAACCCATTTTACTGAACGAAGCAAACACATACGCGATAGCTTATTTTGGTTGTCTAAATTGAAGTAGCTTTCTCTTTCACTGAAAGTGGTCAGCTCTTGTGTTGAAGGCTTGGTTTTTGCTGACCTACCAATGAACTATGAAAAATATTAAAACTAGGTATTCTCAACCAGTTTTTTTCGAGTTCTAGAGGCTGCCTATATTATTTGGAGGATACGTCCCTCTCACATGCAACCTGTAAAAGCGTCGTGATATTGAAACCAAACGAAAGCAGTCGGACGTGACCAAAACATGACCATATGAAATTTGTCGTACTCAACAATAATCTATAAGATTCCATAAATATTGACAAATTTTCAAGAGAGAACGAATGTGAACATAGATTTGTTTGATTTGCACATGGATTTGTTGCCAAAGATCATAAACAAATAACACCTCTTATTTTTACAAAAAAAAAATAATAAAAATAAAAATAAAGTGCCTATGTCTATTATTTTGGGGAGGTGCAACTATTTCCATTGAAGAGTATTTCGGTTACTTTATACAATCAGAAGTAGCTTCGACAAGAAATTGAATGAACGGAATAAATCCATGAATCTAGCGAAATAGCAAATGCTTGGGCCAATCTAAAGTGTGGATTATAGTAATTGGAGATTAGTATAATTAGTTCTTACAATTATCTTTAAAATATAATATTTAAAAAATTTAAAATTTAAATGTCAGTATCTATAATTTATTTTTAATGGATTCAAACAATCATATTTAAAAAATAACATTTAAAAAATTTAAATTAAAATCTAATCCATATCTACTTCCCCTCTTTTCAAGCTACAACTTCTATTGCATAACAAAAAAATGTGGATATCAGGTTGGTCATAATCATTTTCCCTTCCTGATTGAATGTTCCTCGCATTAATTATGTACCATTTTATAAAATTCCTTTTCTTTATAGCCTTTAAAAAACCAAAGCTGCTACTGTGACAGACACGGAGAAGAGGACTTCTAGACAATTCTGATTTGGATGGTTTATATGGTCTTGTGACTCCACACTCGAGAAATACTAGTACTTTAGTCCCAATTAATTAATTGGTTTTAAAGCTAGATTAATATAATAATATCCTATTGGATGGTTCATTAAATATTTGCATACAATTATTTAGCTAGCTTAAGAAGAACATTTTATATACAAATAAAACATCGAAGAACACGAATAAAACTCATTTGGAGATATTGTAGCATAGATGATCTTTGTTTAGTCCTTTTAATCCATTATCATACAAAAATTCTACGTAAAACCTCTCATACTGATGGTTTCTTCACTTTCTTGCTTTCCTCCACTATACAAATCATGCCCGAAGATAGGAATTAGTGAGACAAGGGCGGGCAAATGAACGCCTTTGCCGATGTGCCCGACACTCCATGCCTCCACCTTAGTTTGCCAGGTAAAATTAGAGTGGGGAAAAACTGCTGAGCTAGTTGCAACCTTCGAGACCCACCAAAGAAATCACATAAAGCATCAGGCATCAGCAAAATCGTGCTTTCTTCTTAGCACTTTGAGAAGTATCCCAGTCATATCCAAATTTATGTCTTTCATCTTCTGCCATCATATCCATTAGCAATCCTTGAAGATCCTCCAAAGTGTTTCCTTCCTAAAAAAAACAAAACAAAACCCTAGAATTTTTTAGTAACCCATGAACCTTAATTGCTAAAACATGTTGGACTAACATTGTACTACAAAGAAATAACCGTTGCACTCCATAGACATACAGCAAATTATTTAGGGTTTCGTTAATTCAGAATATGGAATGCTAGGAAAATTGATGAACATGATCAGAAAAGAGTGTACCTGTGACCTCACATTTTGCATCATTAAAACCATTTCTTGCATGAAATTGAGAAATCCCTGTTTCCAGAAACTCCATAATTCGGTACTAGATTATAACATCACAGTGAAATTCTTACGACAAAGAGAAAGAAAGGAAACAGAAACGAAGAAAAGGCAAAGGGGAGTTGGAGGAAGCAGATATCTTCCACTGAACTTAAAAAGAAATTAAATTAACAAGGACTCACTTCATCATCATCGTCTGTAAGTAAACCCAACAAACCAGCGTCATAAATCTTTCTCTTTCCTTTATCTGACAAAACTGCATAAATATAATAAAACAGCTCATTTATCAGATCATACTCTGATTTCTGAGAGAACACAGCCAATCCATTTAAACGAGAAAAAAGACAACACAAATTTCCACCTGAATAAGCCTCTTGAATTTGCTGAAATCGTTTTTTAGCTTCTCCGGCTACTTTGGGGTTTCTCATCCATCTGTCAGGATGCCATTTCTTTCAAACCAATGTACAAATATAAATGAAAGAGAACTCATTAGCTTACATGAAAAAAGAAAAAAGAATTTAAAGAGGAATCAAGAAAACAAAATTGAAAAATAAATATAGTACCAAAGCCTGCCTGCGATAAGCGTCACGAATTTCAGAAGCAGATGCTTGTTTACAAATTCCAAGCACAGAATAATAGCAAGTTCCAGCCTCTGACATTTTAACCACCACCAGCAATGAAACTGTCAAAAACCTGCCCTGAAAATGATAAGTTGGATGCCAATGAATAGAAACAGAGTAATGCAGTTATAAAACAACGTAGGTAGTTCGGTTCTAATTTGAGAAGGCGAAAAACTAGTTTTCAGACAGGCTTGTTGTGGCGTTTGGCTTTTGGTGTTAGGCACTTTAAGAGTTTGCCGTTGTGATTAATAAATTATATGTCCAGATTTATAAACATGCGATGCAAGCAAACATGAATTTCTGCAAAAAGGCCTGGTGAGTCTAAAAGGTACGCAGATGGGACTTTGGAGAAACTTCGAGAGGGTTCGGTTGAAAGGGTACTGTGTTAGATATTCACACAATAATTGTGAGAATTGCAGGCCACTTCAGCAACTGGCGCCGAGCCACAAGCTTGCATCCCCCACCCCCTGCCTGAAAAGATGCGGTGGTCCGCGCTAGTAAACCATTTTGTGGCCTACGTTTATTGCATTCAATTCTTCTTTATTCGAGTTTGCCTTTTTATTTTTTATTTTCTTTCAGTTTTTTGCTAAAAACAATTTCAAAGAGGAGGACAAAGTCGCTTTAGGGTACAATAGAGCCACAATTTATTTTATTGGACTAACACACGAATAACTTGAATCCTCATACCTTCTTTAAACCTACGGAACCTTTTTTTTTTTTTTCCCAAATAAAATACCTCTATGCAGTAGCCTCCAAGAGGACCCACCAGCCCTTGCTTGGACAGCAGGCCTTAAACCAGGGCTTGTCTCGGCACAAGACAGAAAATCTTGGTCTAACCCGGCCCAAGGATTAACTTGCTAACTCTGACCCATGATCACCTTTAGGGCTTTACCTTAACCCACTATTAAGTGGAGAAAGAGGCTGGTCCTGGCGGGCTGCAGCAACTTTTGCTGAGAAGTGAAATCCACGATAATGCAGACGGTCCAAAATAAAAATTACCATTACCTAATCTTCTCCCTAATATTTCATTTTTCATTGTAACTAATTGTTAATAATTCATGGTCCAAGAATAAAGACTATCTTCATTTTTCTTTAGCAAAAAAGGAAAAAAACTAATTCCTCACCTGGTTGGTTGGTCCAGTAAATAATTGTTGCCCCTAGAAGTTTTTTTTTTTTTTTAAATTATATTTATTTTTAAAGCTCTAATAATGTAGGATTCTTCCATCTTCATTCAAAGGCTCACAAGGCAACCAATTTTTGGGCTCTAGAACTCTACCAAGGATTGTACGAAGCATTGGCCGTACAGATGCCTTCCTTTTGTCATTCGTGAACTTGAAAAACTCTAAAGCAAAGAATTCATGCAACAATTGTGAAAGGACTGCTTCCGGTTCCCTCTTTGCTTCATCGCCTTTCATTCCTTTCGAGTCCTTAGATGATCTTCAAGGTTTTTTTTTTTTTTGGCCACATCACATATTATCTTCAAGTTTGAAAGATAGAATAAAGAACAAAACTTTGTCATGTCTACTTTCATAAGGCTTTATATATGGTTTCAGCCTTTTTATTGTTCCTCAGACATTAACTTTGGTTATATATAGGAGGAAAAAGAACAATAAGTACTGTTTCTCTCGTCTGAAATTTTGAATAAGTAATTCCATACTTTGAGCCTTCAATTTTATTTCTTGCTTCATCTAAAATCAAGTTTTTGCAATCAAGAATTGAACAGTATGGACCACTTGAGAAATGAAGATCATAAGTTTTCTGGACAAAACACCCAACAGCTTGACATTGAAGTACTTTTACATGATGATGAAGCCTTTGGAAATGTGTTCTTTCCTCCAACCTCCATGGACTACAATCCCATGAATATCAATGAAATCATTGATTTCAACGAACTGCCTGAATTGCTAAACGAGGAAAACGTAAACGTGGGAGTACATTTTGTTTTAGGAAATGAAGGTGATCTTAAAGAGATTGGGAACCATGGTAGTAACATGGAGGCGACTCAGATTAAAAATGGTGAATTAATGAATGTTAAGCTAACGGATGAACAAAATGTGAAGAAATTGAATACAACAAATGGAATTTATGAAAATGTGTTCTCTCCACCAATCTCCATGGACTACAATCCCATGGATATCAATGAAATCATTGATTTCAACGAACTGCATGAAATTCTAAACGAGGGAATGGATAATTTTGTTGTGGGAAATGAAGGCGGTCTTAATGGGAGCCATGGCAGTAACATGGTGACGACCGATCAGATCAATAATGGTGAATTAATGAATGTTAAGCTAACAGATGAACAAAATGTCAAGAAATGGAAGAGAAGAAAGAGGGTTGAAAAGGGTTCTAAAGAAGCTGCTCTAATGAAGGAACTACATAAAATCAGAAATAGAGAGGCTGCAGCTCGTGCATTTGCAGAAAAGAAGGTAACTTAGAGCTAAATTGTTGCATATCGCAGATTGTTTTTATCGTTTTAGTGGCTGATTGCTGATGACTACAACTTGTAATCGAAAAACCTTAACAACTGTCTTCTAGTGTTAAAAAAAAATCTGCTCGAAAATATCAGTTTGATTCTGTTTTAGAGTTCCAAATGAACCATTTCCCATATGCAACAATTTTGTTTCTTTGTTATTCTGGTGAAACACAAGATTATTACTTGCATTCCATACTTATATCTGATGTCTTCATCAGGCTTATATCCAGGGGCTAGAATTAGAGGTGCAGAAATTCCGCAAGAAGAATGCAAATCTGAAAAAGTTGCTTCTGGTAATTAAATTCTGTTTTCCCATTTTCCATTCATCTACATTGGCTTTGTTTTAGTAGGCGACTCGTGACAAAATGGTAAAAACGAAGCCTTTCAATTTCTATATATGGAAGTAATAGATCTGTTTGCAATACGTTTACTTCACTCAAACCAAAGTCCTCTGTTACTCAATCACATGCATAGCTCAGATTGTCAAATATTTTCAAGTATTCAGCTTTTGTAAATTGTAATATACATCATATGCATGTAGAGACTGATATTTTCTCTTGTTTTTACCTCAGTTCGTAGAAAGTAGCATAGGCTCAGACATGACTCGGAAACAGCTAAAAAGGACAGCCTCTGGACCCATGTAGAACTTTAAGCCAAACCACTTGGTGAGCGATTTTAATGGTCAAACAACAATGCATGAAATTGGAAAGACTGCTCTATATGAAAATGTATATTTTCTCCAACTCCATTCGCATAGGTTATTAGTTATGTCAATGTAATTTTTACTTGCAATCATAATTTTTAATTTCTTATTGTCTCTATTAAGATATTAAATTAGGAAAAATTTTCATGCAACTTTTTCAAACTTTTACACGTAGTATGAACTAAAGAATAGAACTTTTTTCTTCTTGTAAGTTGCAGCACAGATATCTTATGCAAGTATAAGTATACTAAAACTAAGAGTTCAGCACTCAAAATAACAAATGAAGCTACCAAACTTTTTAAGTACTTGGTGAATTCGCAACTTCAAAGCTCATTGAGTTCCAACTGAGAACGTTTATGGTCTTTCATCGTTGCTAGTCAAAACTCAGTATATGCTGTTTTCTTTGAGGTAGAAATGTAGGAATTGAAACAGCCACAAGAATGGTTACTTGTTCTTTTAACATTAAAGAATGGTGGAAAACAGTCTTTACACAAAATACGTCAAAAAACCAAGCAGGCAGGACGCATCTACACAACTTGTCTTTAGAAAACGAGAAGCAACTGGAGTTATTGCTGCATTTAACTATACCATAAAAATTACAATAAAAGAAAAAAAATTATCTGTATATTGAATACCTCTCTCTCTCTAACAAATATAGAAGAAAAAATAAAATAAAAGAAAAAGAATCAGAAATCACTCCAACGTGGTTATAATGGTATTTTCTTGTTATTTTCTACTTGCGGTTTTGCGTTTCCCATCAGCAGGAGCTGGCTGCCTCCCATTTCGATGCAGAGGCTGGCCAACTCCTTTCGCTAGTTTCCTAGATGGTGATGGCCCTGACATAGGATGTAAATTTTTGCTGCAAAAAGTTAACTGGCTTTTAGTAACTTAAAATGCTGGCAGTTCAACATGAGAGTATATATTGCCTTACCTCAGTTCTGGGTTCCTTGCTGACTTTGAAGTAGGTTTCTTGGTCTTTGACTCAATCCCATTGGATATGCTGCTAAGTTTGGACTGATTGAATTGCCAAAGCAAATCAGGCTCGGATGAGTCACTGGTAGCAGCATCAAGATCATCTATGCCATCAGCACCAACCACGTTGAACCTGTTACCCCCCATGAACATATTATATGATTGTTCTGGGTAAATCTTTGAAGAATCTTGCAGATACTTCTCGTAAAAGACATCAGACAAGTTCCTATTTTCTGCTTCCCAACATCCTAGGGGGTTTCCTACTCTGTTAATGGCATCTTGCTTGTTCACCATAACCTTATCCACCCAATCACCTGAGCCCGGTTCTTTATCATCAACCCTAAAGTTTTGGGCAGAACTGATAACAGGAGGCCAGGGAGGTGAATTTGCTAATATCTCATCAAGATCAAAGCTTTGCCTCTTTTGCCTCAATGTAGAGTTGGTGCACGCCTGCAAAAGCAGAAGTTCTCGAATTTAACCTCTAGGTATACAGAGTATGGGTGTGTATGTGTGTCTCTTTGGAGAATGCATGATGATGATATGAACAGTCAAGCTTTCTAGAGCATGTCAACCAAACCTGATATATTTAAGTGCTAATATTATTCGTAAAATTTGCCAAGAAATTTCAAAAAGATAATCACTGGAGAATTTCTCCCATTCCAACCAACTTTAATAGAGAGAAAAAGGAAATAGAAAAACTTGCACATGTCAATTAGCATCAGGCCACTATCCCCAGTCTCAATCACTTGACGGCATATTGTCATGAGATTCTAAATTTAACAAAATCATTCACGCTTCACCATTCATATCATCTTTAAATTATGAGGAAGAATATGGGACTTCTGACGGATAGTATTCAACATGATTAATGAAATCAAAATTTCCATCCAATCATAATGTGGGAAGCAATAAGTAGTACCTCAATGTTGCCCACATCACCCATGGGTTGTCTGGCCCCCAACATATTTCCAATCTGCTCACTAGGATTAAAGGGCGATAAGTCACTAGCCTTTGTTTGGTTTTTTCCAGAGCTGCCAGATATAGAATGCTGACTTTGCTCTGTTTCTCCCTCTTTCCTTGCCAAAGCTGCCTTAAGGCTAGTAATCTGAAAGATGATTCCAGCAAGTTATGAAAAAGGAGAGTAGAACATTTGCCAACTATCTCAACCAATATGTAGAGGTGACTAAGAATACAATAACCTGTTCTTTGAGTTCTTTAACGTCTGCAGTGTCTTTGTTCACTCGGGCAGCACCAAGTTCAACAGTAGCCACACGCTCCGCAAATTTGAGAGTACTTATTGTTTCACCTAAGGCATCAGGCTCAGGGCTTATGTGAACAAACATTAGTGTCTTGGCCTGCCCTCCTGACAATACATTTCCAGCCCAATATAATTAAAACTTCTGTAGTAATTTAGCTCTAAATAGAACTGAAACAGCAATTATTTTGACAGCTTAAACTTACCAAGTGAATCTTGTAGAAGTTGAGTGAGTTTGCTGTTTCTATATGGAACATGTGGATTCTTTTGGGCAAGGGAAGCAATCACATCTCCTAAAGCTGACAGAGATTTGTTTATGTGCTGTGCCTCTTTTAGTCGATCTCCAGTTACCTCGGACTTGTCTACTCTCTCACTTCCTGCAAGATCAACAAGATGCATGCAGCCACGGAGAATAGTTCCAGATGTTAAATCTCTTCCTTGAACATGGACAGTCAGGCAACTGCAAAGTGATAAAAACCGAATTTAGCTTCAGAATGAAGAAATATTTCAGGATCAAGCAGTGTAAAGAAATAAGAAGTTACCTATGAGAACGGCTACTACGGTCATTTAGGGCTGTTGCACCAACTGCACGATTCCTTTGTCCAAGGTTCATTAGATCAATAACATCAGATGTTGAAGAAACATGCATGAGGCTTGCATCTGGTACATTGAGACCTGTCTGAGAACTGTTGTATATTTCTAATGTATTAATAGATTAAGGATAAGCCTGAATAGAAAATTGAATAGCAATGACCAACCATCCAAACAATATGAAATTAAGAGACTCAACATCCATTTTCATATTTAAACCAATTTCAATTTTTTTCGTCTTTTATTTTCAGAGCATCAGCCAACTTTTGATCAAGTTCTAGATGATTTAGAATAGTAAGATAGCTTTTCTAAATTACCAATCTGTCTGAAGAATAGATTCTAACTAATAACGTGATCTAATTTTATAACCTTGTGGATAGTAAAATCAAATAAATTGAAAAAGGATATCTTTTGTTACTTCCATCTGTAACAAGGAGATCCCTGACTTGCTCATTATAAATTTCAATCATCTGAACAGAAACATCATAGCGGAAGGTATCCTTTCTTTGTTCTGCTAGAAGAAACAAATCACCCAATGCCCTATAATTAACACCTTGATTTTTCTCCGTCAAGTCTTTAGGTCCGGCCTGGATGTGTAAACCAATAAACCAGTAAGTTCAAAGGAAAAGGTATATTTCATTAAACAAATATGAGTGAATATATTATCATACTTTTAGCGAATAATCCAACCATGTCTTACCATTGTGTAAGTTTTTCCCGACCCCGTTTGGCCGTATGCAAATATGCAAACATTGTATCCATCAAGAACTGACCGAATCAGTGGCTGCATATCAGAAAAAACCTCCGCTGCAATGCAAGATGATATAGCTAAGTAAAGAATGCTAAAATTGCAGAAACTTATCAATAAGCAATTAAACTCTTAGTGAAGCAACCTTGAGTTGCAGATTGCCCAAAGACTTTATTGAAGGTGAAGGACTTGCATCCTTTACCATACTTTGACAGGGTGTTGATGGTGATGTTTCCATCTTCTATATGATCCACAGTGCTCAGATAACTTGATCCACTCAAGAATGGTCTCACACGGCAATAAACACGGATACTTCCTGGTCAGATAAAGTAGATAACCCTTTCTAATCAATTGGGGACTCAACACAAGGACAAGCATGAAATTTAGAACTAATGCAAAAGACAAATGAATATTTTACCTTTAAGGTCCTGCACTTGATTGTAGAGCTTGCGATTTTCTTCTAGAACCCTATGGTAACCAGAAGCGGCATAAGCTAGCCCATGAATATGCATACCTGTAAAAAAGTGCATTAACTAAAATTAGAGACAAATACCATGCTTAATGCTTCCATAAAACAAGAAAATACAAATAAATACTTCTATTAAGGCACAGTCAGCGTACCAAGATTGTTGAATTCTTCATGAAATTTCATTTGTATGAATTGCATGCCAGCTTTTGTGGAGTTAATAGTATGCTTTAGTTCCTACATAATTTATAATACATATAAGTGCTCTAGTCAAGTAAGCAAATTGACAAGAAAATAGAAGACACGGCACAATTAGCTCCCACCTGAATATCTCTTTGTTGTTGATCAAAGATCATTTGCTGTTTTTGAGATCGCTTTTTTAATTCCTGATCATCAATGAGGTTCTTATGAAAGCAATCTTCCTTCTTCATCATTTTGATGTTCTTTTCCTCAATCTATATCATTTCAATAACGAAAAAAAAAAGTTAGGGAAACACGAGCTAAATCACTAAGACATCTAAGAAAAGTCATCTAGTGACCTGTGAAGTAAATGAGGATCCATTATATACCTTCTTATCCCCAGGAGTTTGTTTCAATAGAGACTTGCTGAAATGAGGAGTGATGTCTTTTGAAGTCATCCTCATCTTTCATTTTGGAGAAAAAAATAATAAACCAAAAAGTTGGTTAAGATCAATAATTACAAAGTAAATGACTTCTATTCTTCTGTAAATTTTGAAGCTTACAATTATGAAAACTAACATACCACTTCATATTGGCTTGCAATCCGATGCTCAAACTCCTCTACAAGTTTACTGAGCACAGATTCAACCAGCTATTAAAAACCAAAGATGTGCTGAATAAGTAGCAGAAATAGCAAAAGGATGACTATCATTTATGATAAAAATTTAACAGAGGTGGTGATATATAATAAGAGTGCAAAAAGTTCTAACAGAATATCAGGCAGACATGAAATGACTGCAAGATGGTAGCAGTCAACACACAATGAGTAAGGAAAATTGGAATTTTGAGGAAAAGGTGGAAGGCACCCGAATGTTAATTAGACATCCCTGGATTTGCACTCATATGATCAGGGCAAAACCAACAGATGACCAAAATAAGAACAATCATTCCACTATCCCAGTTTATATAAGCAAAGAAGTACTAATAAAGTTTAATATGTTTATTGAAAGTAATGAACCAATAAAAACCTACCATTGGAACTTCTTCAGGCTTTTTATCTATTAAAATGGCACGAACCAGCATACTTAACGAACCAGAACTGGCCTGCTTGCACTATAAGGAAAATCATAGAATTCTTTCTCATTGTTCAAGTAGAATATAAAACCAGTGAATACTTTAAACAGTTAAAGCTTACCAACCATTTTATTAGGATCAATTTCATTGGAGTGACCATTTGATAATTTGTCGTCCATCGATGAAGTCCTTTGCAAGGAGTTCGTGAAAGGCTCTGAGTTTTTTCTTACAAATGACTTTCCCAAAGTGGTGGTGGTAGGTTTTATATTTCCACCAAACTTCCACACTCCATTTCCACCTGTGAGCTTCCATTCGTTATAGGACTTGAGCGCTAGAACACAATTCACAACCCTTGCAGATTTGCCTCCCTGAAGAATTTTAACCAAATTAAAAATAAATAAATAAATAAATTAGTCAATAAAACCTTTTGAATGAATAGAATTATAAAAATAGACGTGAAAAACAAAATTACATGGAAAATATACTTGTTCTAGATCAGATGCCTCAAAAGTAGGAAGCCCCAATTCTTGCCCAGCTACCAAGAAATTCCTTACATTTTCAAAGTACTGAAATGCTGACAATGCCGCTCCATCAGGTATGAGAGCTGCATCGCATGGACTTTCCACTACCTTAAAACCAACCACCCCCAATGAAATAAACCATAATAAAAAGGAAAATCAATTTAAAAAAACCAAAACAAAAAGAGGTTTCACCTTAGGAACAGCTCCAGGTTGAACTTTATTGAGAACATTGCAGAGGATTATTCCACTCCTCAAACCAAGCCTAAATTCTTCCTCTGATGGCTCTGCAGGCAAATCTTTAGCCGCGACTATTCCTACCATCTTCCTTAGCCATCCAGCCGCTTCATACCTCCTTGATGCTGCCATACAAGAGATCATCACATTCAGCTTCTTTTTCTTTTTAATTTTCACCAATTTTATTCACTAACATGGCACAATTCATCTAAATTTTCAAAAACTGTAAATGATCAATGATCAAAAGCTTTTCTTTTTCTATTTCTGAAAAAGTGGGGAATCAGAGACGGAATTAGAAGAAAAACCCAAAGTTTTCAACATTTTCCATTGAATTTCATCATTTTTACTAGTTAAAATTATAAATTCATCATCATTCAATAGAACCCAAACGCCGATTTAAAAAATAATAATAAAGTACCAGCTTCCTCAGCTTTTCTAGATTCCAAATCAAGATCTTCAGAGCGATTTCCATGCTGTTGCAGTACATGTTCCACAACTGAAGCAACTGAAAACGACAATGTTCCCTCTGCCGCCATTTTCTCTTCCACAAATTATTCTAAGAAGAAGAAAACAAAAATCTCACAACTCCAAGATCAAAAACCAAAATCCCACCCGAATGACAGAAAATGGAACTTAAAATGAGAGATCAAACAAAGAAAACAAATACAGAAAACATATATAGAAAGAGAAAAGAAAGCAAAGTTTGGTGGGTTTTTTTGCTGTGATATTTTTGTGGGGAAGTTGGAGTTGAAGTTTCCTTTTTGATATTAACACATAACTTCTACAACACAATCACATTCTCCATTACCCTTTTTATTTTTTTCTCTACACAAAGTAGAAAAGAAAGCTTACTCTGCTTTATACTCCCACTCTTCTTTGAATCTCTCTCCGTCTGTCGCTTTTCTCACATACTCCAAACCTCTTTCCGAACCTGTCTCCGGAGCTCACCCCTTCAGAAGCGAACTCCTTTTTGTCGTTGAATCCAACGCGGGAGTAGCCGCTGGGGCGGTGTTTAGGTGCTCCCTTGGGCGCGTGGAATACAAAGCATAAGGAAAGGACAAGTATGATTAAGGTTGTAACTAAATTCTGCAAATCGAGGGAACGGGGAAGTTTGGTTGGGTTGGCCAATGGGCAATGGCAATGGCAATGGCCCCCCTTAAAGTAAACTCCAGCGAGGTCCAACAACCACTTGCAAAAGCTTAGACTCTTACCTCCAAAGACCAGGCAAAGCCAACAATCTCACTACTTGAATTGATTTGAAAAAAATAAATAAATTGGGTTTATACAAAATCTAACCTAGAAGAAAAAATAATATGAAAATAGAAAGGCAATAGAGCTGGAATATATCATGTTTGATCGATATGTTCCTATATTCTTCCACACGCCGCTGCTGCTGCTGCTGCATTTGAGCCCATATTGTGGACTGAATCTTCCCACATTTTCCAGCTTTTTTTCTTTAAATTTTGTTTAATAAAATGCTTAGCTTTTAAAGAAAATTCCCTCCACCCCAGTTTTAGAAATCATTCAAACATTCGGAAATTTGGGTGGATGTTGGTAATTTTGTCGGTTTCTTACTTTCTTTTGATGCTCTTAAGCATGTGTATGCGAGATTAAGACAAATAAGAGGTCATAAACAATACTGGCCAAAAAAAAAAAGAGGTCATAGACAATATTCATACCCAAAATTACTTAATATTGGAACAAATTTGGCCTAACTTAACTATGCTATGGATCCACTTAATTTAACCATGCCGGAGGCCGTGGGCATCTTTGCTGAGTTTAAAAGCCACCAAAATTACCAACCATTTTGCCCCCACACAAATATATTCTTTATTTGTTTTGCATACCAACAATGTGGCTTTCAATATTAGTTAAAAAGTTTGAAAGCAAAACATTTCAAAATAATTTTCTAATAAATCCAATATATACTTTCGTGAAAAATGGGCCACCCCCAATTGGCCGGCAACGGGCAGCTTTCGTGATGGAAGTGGTTGTTGAAATCAGTTACCAAATAAACTTTGTGTCATCTTAGGACTAGGAGGTAACGAAAACATTAACCAAATCCCACTATATATGTTGGGCGTAATGATCTTGAGCGCTAAGTAAGCAAGTCGCGTCCATTTGAATTCAAATGGTAAGATTAGTTCTTATAAAATTAAAAATAATAATAATAATGAAATTAATTATTATAGTAATAAAATTAAAATTAATTATAATAATATATATTTAAATTTAAATACCATGATAATGGTAAGATAAATTATAATGAAATGAAAAATGACGATTAAAAATAATTAATATTTGTATGTAATAAAAAATTTAAATTATTTAAAATTTATAAAATTAATAAATAAGTAAAGAATATTAAATTATTTTTATATCAAATAATAATTTTATTAATAAATAATTAAAATATAATAAAAAACTAATACATCAAAGGTTATTTATTTTTCACTTTTATAACATAATTATTTATTTTAATTAAAATAATATAACAATATAATAATAAAATTTATATTTATTTATTAATTTATTACATAATGATAAAATTTGTATGTTATATTAAATTAAAACAAATAATTTCATAATTTTTTAAATAAAAAAACAAGAAGGCATTGGCAATTGTTATTTGGTCAGGGATAAAACTGAAAAAAAAAAAAACATCCCAGTTGCCCACTAGTGCTATTCCTCTCCAATTCACTATTGGAGATGTGGGTCGGTGCGGTGCGGATATTAGAGAATCCCAAGTCAAATTTAAACTCTCCAATTTTTTTTTATGGAGATATGAAAAATTATGTTGCAGGTAGATAATAAATTAACAATTGCTACAATATTTGAAATTTGAAATTAGTATTTCAAAAAAATATATCAGCAGAATTTTTTTGGGTACGGCTGATTGATGAAAAGGAAGATACTGACAGGGAAGGAAAAAAACAAAAGAAAATGGTCCATATAAAATACTACTGTTGTATAGCTTAATGTTGACGTTCACTCTGCCTTAGGCTTCAACGTTCAAAAAATTCAAATCCTTGGTTTGGTACCACACCGAACAGGTCCGGATACGAGCGAGGCCCACTTAGCGCTGCTTTATCGGGTCCCACTTCACCGGCATTCGGCAGGCCTTTATTTATTTACTCCCATTTTTCAAGAATCGGGTCCTGCTTAATTCACCAGGATCTTAGTGTTTGTCTCAAGACTGGCGAATCAGACGTCGCCGTCTGGCATACGCGACCTCGTCGTAGCTACGTGGCATGCTCCTCATGACAGTTTTAAGTGGTTCCATTACCATGAGTTAGAGCTTCACGTTTTCACTTTCTGAGCTAAATTGAGTTATGCACAGACCCACCCGCAGCTTTGAGCGCGTGCTGCTCACGATTTCCTGTTGACTCGGACGGCTGGATCATAACCCAAACCCTATCAGCTTAGCTTATTGCCAAGCAATTAAGGCAAAACGACTACTATTTAGAAATGGTAAAATAAAAGAAAATGGAAGAAGTTAATTCGCAAATGGAGAGACAGAAACAAAGCTACAGTCCAGAATAATGTCAATTAGGGGGGAGGGGGGACTCCATGTTTTCATTTCAGCCAAAATGGAATATTCTAGCTGGAATTGCTAAAAAATGAAGCAAAATCAAAAGGTTCATCATGCCCTTGAGTCCTCGACAAAAAAAAAAAAAAAGAAAAAGATAAATATTCATAAGTGGGGTGAAAGCAATGCTATACTGTTTCTGAATGAATTAGGGCCCAATTTTTTTGGGACAAAGTGTGAGATTATGCAAATCCCAAAGCAAAGCATTATTCTAATGATGCAAAACAAATGATTAACCATTCCTAATTATGAATAAGCAAAAAATTGTAGTTTAATAGTTAAACTATAATTACAATACTAACAAGAAGTTCTCTTTACAGTTAATGTTTGAGAGGCTGAAGTTATGATGTGGGATGAATGCTTTTTTTCTCTTTAGCACCTTCAGATTCACATGTTAAGCGAACCCAACTATGGATTGGTGACGCTGGCAACGAAAGCCATGATTATATTCATGGATTAGAAATGTAAAATGGGCATCACTTTCTGGTGCAGGAATGTGCAGGTTCATGCTGTGAAGATGGGAAGCCACATCATATAATGCACCCACATGCGTCACCTTATCCTGAAATCCTAAACTACCCATGTTTTTTTCTTGCTATGTTACTCGGGCTGAGTGAGTGTAGGATATTTGTATGTATTCAATATGGGTATGCTCAACTTTTTTTCAAGTTTTTTTTTTTTTCATATATTTTTATTATTTGATGGATCAAATTTTTTGTTCAAAATACTGTTCTCAACTGAACGATATTTCTTTTTCTTGATCATCTTCTTAAAAAAAAAGAGTGGAATTCTTCCACCTAGGGTCATCTCTTCATCCATTGCCCAAAAAAGCTATAAAAACCGCCACTTACAGCTCTCTAATAATAGCAGTTACTTTTGAAGGCTAAACTTTAGGGTATTTCCCATTATCACATTGGGGATTATGTCCACATAGTAAACGAATAAACAGTCCCTATGTTATATCGGAAAAGTTAAAGTATCCACCATCATGATAATTATTGTCGTTGGCTGGCCAGGATATTAGAATGTCTTTTGAAGGAAATTTTGGATCCGAATCCCATCTGGAAAGCAAACGCCAGCCCCTATTTCTAGCCACACACATGAGTTAAAACTCAACAGCAACGCTAATATTATCTGTTGGGTGAGTAGAAAAGAAGACTTTGTTTCCAAGAAAAGCCAGTTTCTTTAACAGGGCCAAACTTGCCAGTAGGTGGTAGTTTTAAGTTCTTTGAAACCCTAAAAAAATTTTAAACAAGTGCTTGTTGTTGCAATGTTTGGTTTAATAACCTTAATCAACGGAAAAAATTAATGAAAACCATTTAGAAAATTTAAAATAAAGAAAGATCATCACATTCACAGGTTGGCCCTTTATTTCTTTGGGTGGGGTAACCAGCATTCTCAAACAAATCATGAAAGCGTTGCACTCCTCTATATCTATTAATAGCCCTAATACTTTTCATCAAACAGACTATGATGAGAGGTCAAAAGGGCAGTCCTTTTGAACTCACATTCCCTTCCCTTACCTCTCCCAAGCCATGTCCTTTAATTATACTGTGGTAGTGGCACTTGCTGCAATGTTAATCTGCTGATATTTCAGCACAGTACCATCACAAAAATGTCAAAAAGGAAACAACAATAAGTAGATTTTTTTCTATTTTCATGACTCAAAAGTGTCAAACCTGCACCAAGCCCCACAAACCTGAGAATGAAAAAATCTAGAGCATTGTACAAGAGGAATGTGAAATCAATGACCTAGCAGCTATCAGTTTTCTAATTTATTCCAGTACTTCTACACTTGAGATTTGGGTTTATTTTTGTTTTTTAACTCAATCCCATGTGTTAATAATGTGATGTTATGAACTGTTAATCACATCCAATTTGAATCTTGGTTTCTTTTCATAACATAATAATGTCTACCAAAAATAGGGAAAGAATACCCTTTTAAAGAATGCATGTCAGGAGAGCCACTAATTGGGGGCCTCTAAGTTGTCTTAGTCTTTCTGATACGAGAGAAGATAAAGCTCTTAGTATTCCCTTTACAGGGCTAATGAGTTGTCAAATTATATATGCCCACTTTCTCCTTTATCACTAAACTTATAACTAGCATTGAGATGGAGACGGAGATGTAAGAGGATTTTTCTAATTAATCAAGCACATTGTCATAGTCCTAAAGTTTTCAAGTGAAGTATATTTTTAAGAGTATACATGATCCTTTGTATAACGTTTTAGATTATCCATTTTAATCTGAATATATTTGCAAGAAAATGGCTTTGTTTTTCATCAGAAGTCAATAAATAATATATCTACTATTTTTTTGAGTGATATTCAATAAACAATATAAACATGATCCAAACACGTACGGTTGGCTGGGCTCATCCGGAACTTGAGCTCACCGCATGAAAAAACCAAGCTGATCAGGAAATGGTTATCCCTCTTTGAAACTTGCATTTAGTTATTGGTTAAATAAATAGGAATTAATTAGATCGATCATGACTGATGAATATTCTCACGTATTAAATAGAGAGTGCGTCTCCTTTGCATTAAGGGAAGACTTATATTGAATGGGAGCCAGGAGCTTAGATTTTTTGTATGATGCCAAATTTCTCTCTTTTCTTACTAGAGTTTATGATCTCTACTTGAAGTATGAACTCTCAAGTCTCAACACAAACAATTGACCTATAGGCTCAGGCTTAGTATTTAAAGCCAAGCATTTCTGTTATGGTTTGTTTTGTGATTTCATAACAGATTATAAGTATCTTGTTTCCATCAGAAAATCCCTATCCCAACAACTCTTATCCTTGCAAATTTGCAATCCCCATCCAAAATTCCTTATACTTGCTCAGAAAAGCAAACGCGTTTGAATGCTTATTTAGCTACCATTCATTCCTGGGAGCGAGTTGAGGAGGAAGTTCGAGACCTTGGGTAGGTAGCTAAATTCGTCTCCAAAACAAAAGCCCAAATTAAGAACTGGACTGAATTTGCATGCATGTCATAGTTACACGGCAATTCAGACAAATTTGGTTACTCTTTTAAGTTGGGGTGAGTATCCCAAATTAACCAGCAATGAAGCAAGGTCTGGTCATAGCCACACTGCATGAATCAGATCATTGATACGGGCCAAGCCCAAGTGTTCACCAGTAAAACCCTGAGGAAAGGAACAACGGAACATAGAAAAGGAAACTAATTGATCATATATAATGCTAGATTGCAGGCTTAGACAATATATGAAAGAATAATTTTGCAGTACCAACCTAGTGATATCAGCCCTCTGCAGTTTGAATATAAGGACCCAAATGCAAACCCTTACACCCTTCCAACTAATTCCTAGACACAGCTGTTAATGAATTAGATTTTGGGGTCAATTTCCCGGAGTGCCAAGCAAACTTCCAATTTCTTCTAAATAGCTCAAACCTTAGGCAATATCAAACATCAATACCGTGGAATCCTTCACAGAAAAAAAAAAAATTTCTCCACCTTAAATCAAGCCATGGTACCTGCACAACCTAAGTTCCTTTCTAGCAGCAATCTTCATTCAATTTTACAAGTTAAACTCCCCTCCATTATTATTTTGTCCATTTTTTTCAATACACTCATCAAAACCATTTACATGTGTCAGTTCCACTTAAGAACTGTAAAAGTCATGTGGATGGTGATCAAAATTGTATTGAAAAGTAATAGATAAAAAAAAAATAATGGTGGGGAGCCTAACCCCAATTTTACATAGTTTATAAACTTTGAAAGTTAAACAATAAGATGATAGACCAAAACAGGGATAACAAGCAAGTAGTAAACGATAAGCAAAGATAAATAATTGTAATTATCTACCTATCCTTCAAGAATGTGCTAAGTTAAGCTCACGATCTACCATTTTCGTCATTATCATTGTCAGTATAACATGTCCACACCTTCCTCAGGAACCTTCGATCTTACAAGGGTTAGATGAGGACCGAATAAATATTGGTAAAAAGCTACCAGAAGAATACAAAAAAAAAAAAAACTGTGAAAATGTGTCACTACCAAGATGATGTATAAGCTGCCTGGTCCTAGGCCAGGCGTCAGTGGCGATATCCATGTTTGAGCACGATGCCTCACAATGGGTGAGGCTATGGATCAGGAGGGAAGAGGTCAACAAGAAATCGATGAATCATCTCAAAGCTTGTGAAGGTGATAACAGCTGCAGGTGTGGTCCTGATAAGATTTGTTGCACACCCACGGTAGAATCCAGCAAGGCCTTCTTGCTGAAATACTTTCCTGAAGCAATCAACCATACCAGAATAACGTTTCTCAGAGTGATGTCCCTGTTCCTGAAGCCTTGAGCGTACCACCTATGTCACGCAAGAATAAATGTAACTGTGTTAGTTTCATCAGCTTACATAATTAAACAGCCGCTAATGATAAAGAAATCTAAATAAAGTTCTTAACATAGGCTATGGCAATCAGAACATATTCCCACTTCCCACCTTTTTTACATTGAAAGTGCCATGCAACCTCATTCAGAACAACTGAGAGTTTCTTACTTAACAAATGAGTTGTAAACATTCATTCATCATACCTCATGTGGGTAAGTCAATGTGGATGCAAATATTTTGGAAACTGATGAAGCAACAGCAACATCACGCGCACTGAGTTTATCCATTGTAGTGTTATCTGCTAGGGCCCCGTTAAGTTAAAATATTTCAATGAGTATATTCAACTAAAAACATGTGGATTATTAACCTTGATCGGCTAAATAGAATTTGATCTTCTCGTATGTTGGAAACTGAATGGCAACATGACTGATACCAGCTAATGCAGGCACGAGACCACTGTTCATCATGCAAAAATCAGACATCAATGAATCATTTCTCAAATCCTAACAGGTAAAAACAACTTTGCTAAAAAATCAGATGAATTTATCAATTCTTATGAATGGTGATACAAAACCTGTATAAACCCCGAATACCCTCCTCATGGGCTATTCTCCTCAAAGCAGAAAGTGTACTCCTATAAGGAACCACTCCTGCTCTCATTCCTTGAGTCTATAAAACACAAAAGGGACAGATGTCAATGCATAAAAAGGTCAACAGCTCTAAATCTATTATCTATAAATAAATAGCAGAATAATACAGTTAAAATAAAAAAAAATCAAACCAAGAACACTCGATTATAAATACAAAAAGATATTACCATAAAACAATCTGTCACCTATAAAGCCAAGTCAAACGGCCAAAATAACACTAATCAGTCATCCACCCACTTGATGCAGGTAGTCACTTTCTTGTGTGCGCCTAAATTATTGATGCTCTCTCCTATCAATTTTTTCCACAGTTTATTTGTGTTCCTTCTTAAGGGTTATTACTTGACTGGTATGGGCTCCCCAGTGCCTTTACATTTTTGAGGGTTGGTTGGTGGCATGGACAGAGGTACTTATCAAAAGCAACAAAAGAGAAAATAGAGATTAAAGTTTCTATATCCCATAACAAACCATAATTGGAATAAAATACCAGGCAAGATAACTTAGAAATTTAATATAAGTCACTATTGCTACATAGAACATGCCACACTATCTAGAATTTTCATTTCTTTCATCATATGTCATTACACGGTAAAACAATGAAGTATAAACTTGAGAGACACACTTGAAGTCTTGTCTTCACAACCCAAAGAGGATTTGTGAAAATGGTTGTTGCAGCTCCAGCACCAGATGCAGCTAGCATGTTAGCACCTATTGACAGTTGGTGATTCTCATCTACACATGCACCCAGAAGGAGAATTAAGTCAGAAATTCGAAAGAAAACGTGCAAGATGGTAAGCACAGCAAAAAAAAATCTAAAAGGAAGAAATGAATGCTCTAAATTTAGACTGAATTGTGAATCCTATAGTCTAGGAACTGACCATTAGAACAAAGAAAGTCTTTGAGCTGCTCATACATTGCAAAATATACCTGCAAAAGGAATGGATTAAATCAATTCAAGCAAGCACCAAAAGAGCAAGAGTAAGAGAAATAGATAAAAAAAGGGGGACCTAAATTCAGTAAGCAAGGCATGTGAAACACATCTACATTAAGGAGAATAATTTCATACGGAATAACAAAATCACCCATGGAAATCCAACCAAACAAGTAGTTAGGCTTTCTGTTTGAATTAATTCAACCATAAATGCCTCAAAAATAAAATCTAACAGTATTATGCATTGTTGGGATAGGAAATAGCAAGTATAAAAATTATCATGTTATGTGGCAAATCAAAATTATGCATTGAGAAGGAAGCCAGATTTTTACATTTGTGGTTCACCCTTGTTAATGGATACTTAACGCTTCAATAGCAAATAAAATTTTGCTCCTCCAAATTCAATATAGCTCAATTACTCAATCAAACAAAAAAACTGCTGTAATGCCACTGCTTGTTTAGATAATTTACTTAAAGTATTCAAACAGGCACCTCAAATTTTAAGCTAGACAGAGTTGCAAGAGAAAATAAAAAGCATTGATGATTAAATCTTTGCTGGATATGAGCATTTCTGTCCTGAATCTACATTTCTCTATAAGGCCATCTTTGTGTATTTTGAGAAATTATACGTAGAATAATTGCATAAATGAACCCATGTCGTGGGAAAAGGCTTAGTTTGTTTCTATGCATATACAAGCTGTGACTTAACCTAATTTGTAAATTAGGTGGGAAAATTGAGGACAGTAAACAGCAAAGAAGCTTAGAAACCTTTATCTTCTGATCAAGTTTGGAATTGCAGGCAAGTAAAGAATCAGATCGATGAAATTCTCAGCTTCTCAAAACTCAAACATGCAAAAGGATTGTTTCTTTAATTTAAGTAATCTACTGATAATGCAACAAAGCCTCAAAATCCATATTCATTTCCCATATTCCTCAAGGTCTAGTTACCTAGATATAAACTTTAGGGTCAACACAAACCGACAAGAAACCAACTTCATTCCTCACAGACCATTGAGTTAACAAATGCTGACTTTTCCAATTCGATAATAACATCCAAGAATTCCTCGAGACTTTATAAACAGGATTGGAACAGCTTAAATAGAAACAGGGAATACAACACTTACTGCCCAATTAGGAAGTAAAGCGAGTACAGTAGGAGCAAGCCCACGGTACATGCCACGCAAGCCTTCCTTCTGAATTATTTGTTCCAAGCTACCAACTATAAGACTACCTGGTCAAATAATCAAACAAAAAACAAAAGCAAAAGGTTAGAAATTAAAAAACCTTAAACATTCTTGTATTTTTCTTCCTTTAGAATGAAAGTGAATCAATATTGCATACGTTTAACGGTAGCGTTACTGAGTTTTGGCAGCCCATGAACCTGAAATCTAGTCTTTATAACATCTAAAGGGCACACGAATGTTGCAGCAATAACACCTGCACGTGCAAACGAGAGCTCCAAAATTCAGTTACTGAGATAAACGGCGTAGGGGAAAAGGGGAGGAAATATTTGACATACCGGCGGCGGCGCCGGCACCAGCATTGCAAAGGAGACCCCTTGAATTAGGGGCATGGGAATCGTTCGTCATATCTAGAACTCTCTAAATGAATCTGAAAACAGGCGAAGATTTTAGCCGAAAAAAAGGAGTCCTCTCTCGAGAGGGATATCGCCGAGAACCAGAGTCGCATTGCCAAAGGATATAGCTCTTTGGATGTGAGTTGCGTTGGCTTGTGAACAAACGAGTCGAATCGCCCGAGTTAGGGTTTCGATCTTCACCGCTTGTATCTTTTTTTTTTCTTTGGTTTTTTTATCCGTAGAGCGCAACAATCGGGAAACTGTTAAGGAGAGGATTGGCTCCAGAGGTTATGTGTTACACGATAAGATCGAGAAATCGCCATGAGATCTGTGGAGACAAAAGAGTGGCTTTGGTTTCAATTTTTAAAACATGGGGCTTTTGTTTTGGCTATTATCAGCCTATCAGATCTCAGCCGGACGATTCGCCCCACATGGGACCCATTTGAATAAAAAGTCTCCGATTCTAAGTCCAATAATAATAATGATATTATTATTATAATAATAAGTAATTTGTGCACGAAAACCCTCACGACATTTTACACTTCTGGCAGATTGGCCTCTCTGGGTCTCTGTGATGTTTGGTCCTTGACCTAATTGGATAGCTCACCTAACCTTAAACCGGGACTGGCTGGTAACGGTGGCTGCGAGCCACCAACTCCTAAACCAAGTTAATAACTGAAGTCGGATTTTTTTTTTAATTTTATTTTTTATAGAATAAATGTTAGAAAATTTATATATATATATATGTTAGATATCAAATTTTAAAAATAAATGAATCGTTTAAATTAACTATCAAATTTAAATAACTTTTTATACTTTATACTAACAAGTAATTTCATTAATTTGAATAGAAATTTTTTCTACCATGTGACATATATGGTAGGGGGATTGTCGTTCAAGCTTGACAAGTAAAAATAGAATAATTTTGACAATTTCAATTGCCTCCCTAGAAGGTAATTCTAATCCAAACGAGCTAAATTTGTCAAAGCATGGTGATCAACAAAAAAGTCAAATAATGTATTTTGGGAAATAATCAATGTCCTCGTACAGACTAATTATTTTTTCTGTTCATTTTCTTACAATTGTTGTATATGCTAAAATTTGGTATGTCCAGTTTACCCTTAGACATAATCATGCAGAGCAAATTGAACATGTTCCCTTAGAAATCAGATGTGTCTCTACAAGCATATTTTCTATCTCGCAAGGGATGAGTTTGTTGGTTTATTCTCAAACATGTGGTTTACTATTATATCTAACTAAGAAAGCATAAAAGTTAGCTCTAGTTTTTTTTTTTTTTTTGAAAAATCAAAATTTTATTTTTATTTGAAATCGAATACGTCTCATAAGACATGTGGATTTCAATTTTTATAAAGGTTTTGCTATTGATTTTTTTTATTTTTTATTTACATTAAAGATTAATTGATTATTTTCGTAATTTTTATTGATAACTGAATTTTATCAAAATAAAAGAATATATGTTTCTCATATTTAGTTTTTTTACATTTAAATCAATTTATAAGATGATAGATAAAATAAAATAATAATCATCTTATAATATGTTCAATTTACATCTAAAAGAATATAAAATTATAAGAAATATTAATCGTAACTATGATTATCCAATCCTCTTAACATAAAAAAATTAATTTTAATTTATTAAATTAAATTTATATATTTTATTATATCTTTAAAAATTATATAAATAACTTAAATTATATAAAATTTGATAAAAAATAATTTTAATCAATAAATAAAATTATTTTATTTTAAAATATATATTTATATATATCAATTATAAAAATAAAATATTTTAATTTAATCGTATTTATAATATTATTTTATATATTTAAATCACCCTTGATATGCCTATAGACGAGAAATAATAGTATAAGAGCCCATTGGTAGGTGATTAGAAGGCAGATGATTCTTTTTTTTTTTAAGTACTAAAAATGTGAAAAAAAAAAATGCTCTTGCAGAATGGAGCGTTGGTCATGTACCACGGCTATCAGCTGACTTTATGAACACTAAGTTCAATCAGCAATGCCAGCTGGATTCACATGGCCGCTTTGGTTATGGGCCACACCCATCTGCTTTGTAGGCCTTGGGACAGTCTTTTACGTGCGGGGACTCTTGTCCCAATGCCTTCAAACATCAAACGATGATCACTGTCTTATCCTGAAGCAAATCAGAAACTCCGGATGTATAACACTACTACTAATCACAAAACAACTGGAAGGAAGGAACTACGACACAACGCACTTCAACTAGGAGCTAGCAATAATATCGCCTAAAGCAATGACGTTTAACAGTACAAGTCTTTGTATGAATTGGGTACACGAGTAAAAACTTGGCTTTTAAATGAGGAACAAAATGCAGGAATTGGGTGCCCAATGGACTGGTGCAACGTCAATGTATGTTCGGTTTCATCTTTTCATCTTACAATATTTATGTGATTTATGAATAAAATATTTTAATTTTTAATTTTAATAATAAAGGTTCAGTTTTGATAATTTTAATTATAAAAAATAAAAACAAAAATACACCAAAGATAATTAGAGTTTGTTTTTACTTTGATTAACTTCCTAAATGCGGAGAATACAATTTTTTGCCTAAAACCAACAACCCAACTTTCAAAGGTGGAACTTATTTGTGCAAGAAAAAAAAGTCTACTTATGAATTTAAAAAAGTCATTAGTCATTACCAAACAAAGTCCTAAATATAAATATTGACTTACAAAATTTTCATAGCCACTTGATATAACATTGATTGTTTTATGATCATCTCGTTTCTCTGTTTAATTAAATCCTCTTTTTTTCTACCTACATAATTCAATAAATCTACAGTTTAATTTTGTCCTTTCACATTAACTACGCACAGAAACAAGGTTGATACAACGGACAGTGCAATGCATCCAGGGATCAACACACAAGTACCCAAAAAATAAACCTATAATTTTCCATAAATTTCCTAACAAGAAAGTTATTTTTTGGACAAAAAGCTATCCTAATGAAAATAGATCAAAATATCTGCCTCAAACCCAAATATCAAACCGGTGATGCTGTCTCAAGCATCATCCAAATGAATTTCTTCATCTTAATTTATATATATATATATATATATATTGAGACGATAAAATAGATAAAACAAATCATACGAATGTAAAACTTCGTCTTAATTGATGTTATCTTTTAGAAAAAGAGCAAACATCATACTTATACAGAGCATGCATTATTTTATTTGGGAGGGCCAACCCGGGGGGCAAAGCAATAAATGTAAGATTAACACGTGATTTCACTTGTTATTTTATATATCAAGAGATTAAGATCTAAAGTTTGGAGATTCATTAAAGTCAAATCTGTCGCTTAAGCTGATGGGCAATTCGGGCCTACCCCCAAAACTGTGGGCTCGACCTTATCATTAATGACTGCTGCTGAGGCGATTCGTTCCAATTCAAAAATTATTGCCACCAGCGGCGGCGAATATGTTCAATTTGGCTATTTTTCGATTTTGTCTGTTCTTCCCAAAATACCCTAAGAATGCTGCTTTCACAAAATTTCTTTCACCATTTATGGAATCAAAATCGGAAATCACCCTTTCATCCTTCATCATACATTATTATCACGGTCAAACCATCAAAGCAAATAAAAGGGAAAATATTGAGATCGGACGATCGTTATTGCTTCCATTGTTAAATGACTCGTGTGTTACGTCTGTAAGATTTTTATTGTTAGTATTCTACATTAAAATTATTAGTACTGAAAATAAAAAGTATCTGGACGAGTCAATTCAAGTAATGAGAAAGAGGCCAGTATCGTCATTTTGGTAATTTTAATCGCAAAAAAAATAAAAGCAGTAACAAGAGAGAAATCAGAATTCAAAACGTAAAGGTCTCTTCAGTTCTCTCTCTCAGTCAAGCGACTTTTTTTCTTCAAATCTTAAAAAAAAAAAAAAAAAAAAATCATCGAGAACACAAAAACAAGAAGAAAATCAAGCAAACAAGAACACTCGTGGTTCTTTCCCTTTAATTTTCGTCTTCAAAATTTTACCTTTCAATACCCCTCCAAAAGTCCATAATCTCTTCTCCATCCCATCAATTTCCTTGATCAAACAAAAGCTGCAAAACTTTATTTTTAGTAATTTAACGTTTAAAATAAAAGATTAATAGTAGTAGAATGTCTAACTCCGGCGGGTTCGCGGTGGCCCGAACTCACACGGGGGACCGATTCTACAACCCGCCGGCGGTGAGGCGGCACCAACAGTTATTACAACAGCAGCAGTTTCAGAGGCAGCAGCTACACAGACCGTTGCAAAAGGAGCTACAGGGACCGTTAAAGAATGAGAGCCGAGATGACTCGGTCGACTTAATGACTGAGGCTTGGACGGATTCGGACGAGTCTACATTGTCGAGGCCTAACTCGGTCTGCCCTTCTTCACCGTCGTCGCCGAAGAATGCCAATTTGACAAATTTGGATCGGCTCATGGAATCGGTCACTCCTTTTGTTCCGGCTCAGTGCTTCCCTGAGGTATTGTGAAAAGGAAATAGCTGTTTTTTTTTTTACTTTCATTGTAACTAAATAAAACTTTTGAGAATTATTTTTTGAGAAAAAAAAAAGGCAAAATCTTGGAGAGCTAATTTGTACTGTTTTTGTTTGGCGGAACGTGAGATTTAGTTGAGATAGTAGATAAGCGTTATCTTGTGGAGAACTGGCTTTATTAGGCTAATTAATGGTGTGGGGTTTTACTATTGCTTTCATTTTTTTGTCCTAATGTGATAAGAAGATTTAGATTCATCTTCTTTAGAACAACATTGCAGAGTCTTGTTCATGGAAATAAAAGAATTAGTTCTTTTTCTCAGATATTTACTTTTGCATTAATTATCAATAGTAGAATAGTTTAATTGGCATTTGGCGCTTCTCGTTTGCTCAGTTTACATTTAAGTTAGAGTTTGAAAGAAAATTCCATATATATTCGCTTAGCAATCTGTTGGAATCAGGAATTTCTGTATTTGATTTCATTGCGTTCCTTTGTGAGTTTTCTTTTGTTTTTTGGTTTTATAGGCAATATTGAGGGGATGGAGAACTCGTGAAGTTGATTTATCCCCATATTATTGTCTCGGTGACCTATGGGAATGTTTTAGTGAGTGGAGTGTATATGGAGTTGGAGTGCCACTGTTGTTGAACGGAAGTGATTCTGTCAAGCAATACTACGTTCCATCCTTGTCAGGCATACAATTGTACGTTGATCCACATAGGCCTAGGTGAGCTTCTTACTACCATATCTTCCTAACTAAAATTTCCTCTTCTCAACTCATAAAGTCCTGTAAATATGATAGAGTTGGATTGGATGTTTTTCATTGTGTTCTTTTAACCACATGGCAGTGGACAAATTTCTAGATTTTTATACATTGCTGGTTCTTATGTTTCCTCTTGATATTGCGATGATGTGATTACTTAAATTCATTGTTGATATATAAAAAAAATTTCCCAAATTGTCTGGCAACAAGAAACCTTGAATTTTATCTTTAAACTACCTGTTTGTTTTGATCATTATTGATTGGCTTTCCTACATTATATGAATCTACTTATTTTGAAGCCTGTGTTTTGTTCAAATATTCCTGGCTTACTGATTCTTAATGTTCATTTGACATGTTCCCTAGTTGCCATGTTGATGTCATCAACAATGGAATATGCTTCGCACTTGTGAATTTTGAAAGTTTATACTTTTTACACACAAATTGACTTGAAATAGTGGTTCATTAATTGTTAACCTCTTTATCTGATCTGCACAACAACTACGGCTTTTCTTTGCTCTCACTCTTCCATCATGACATTATTGTTTGACAGAATTGTATTTGTGACAGTTAGCTTAATAGACATTATCATTGGCTTTGTGAATATAAGTGTTTTATTTCCAGCTGCATCCAGGCACTTAATCTACGATAAGAAATACTGGGTTTGTTAAATCTTATTCTGGGCACTGGCTGACCTGCTTGCAACTAATAGCTGCATGCTTGGTATTACATAATATGTTTGTATAAACTGTGGAGATTTTGAGCTGCCTTACCGATAATTCTGAAAATTGCCAATCTATTGAAGGCCTAGTGAGGATAGGGATGGTGAGCCTTCGAGGGAGACTAATAGTGCTGGAAGTAGTGACTGTGAAACAGACAGTAGAGTGAAAAGTGGTGTTGATGGAGTATGGGGGCAGCACAACTCCCACAGGATGAGTAGACCTCCTATGAGTTCATCCAGTGATGAAGTAGAGGTTGACGAGTCGCCTGGGTTGCTGGTTTTTGAATACTTTGAGCAAGAACAGCCACATCATCGAAAACCTTTATATGACAAGGCAAGTTCATGTTAGTGGTGATTTAGAATATTAAGTTCTTTCTCTTCAAATGTTTGCTTGTGTCCTCACTTGGATGCTTGTGGCACATTTTTCTGACCCAACAGATTTCAAGTCTTGCATCTCAATTTCCAGAGATCAGGTTGTACAGGAGCTGTGATCTATTGCCAGCTAGTTGGATTTCGGTGGCTTGGTAGGACATCTTTTACTTCTGAGGATTGACCAAGTCTGTGTTATTTTTATCTTACCGTGCTATTTGTTTGGTTATGTTATTTTTGGGCTAGGTACCCGATATACAGAATACCTATGGGTCCAACGCTACAAAATCTGGACGCATCTTTCTTGACCTTCCATTTTCTGTCGACACGTACTCGAAGTATATCCCTTTATCTTTCATTTATATTCATGGGGCATAAACCTATGTTACGAGGCTATATTATGTGCCTTGTTGAGTTAATCTTATCACTTATTTTATGGCTGGTACAGAAAAAAGTCAGCTTCAGTATCCTGCTTCTAGCAGTAGGAAAGTCTTTGGTGTTGATGCATCTTCAAAGATTTCTCTACCTGTTTTTGGCCTTGCTTCCTATAAGTTGAGAGGTTCAATTTTGACTCTCAATGGTTCCAAAGAATGGCAGCAAGCAAGCTCTCTGTTACAAGAAGCTGACAATTGGCTGCGCCCTTTACAAGTCCATCTTCCTGATTTCCAGTTTTTTGTATCACATAACTCACAGTGGAGATAACAAAGGTACCTTAAACTTTCTATAACAGCTCTTTCAGTTGTTTAGGAAAGTCCAAAGGCTCAGTTGAACAGAACAGAGAATGCTTGTCGCTTCAGAGATGCGCCATAAGGGAAAAGGAGGTCAAAATTTGCAACTAGATTGCGTTTATTGAAATTGCCAGCTGTCAGAAATGATAGGTACAAGAGGCAGCTGTTTTATCATATTCTCGAGCAGGGCCCAAGAAGCTATGATGAGCTCATTGGAATTTATATCACCACTCAATTATTTTGCTGTGTGGCTACTGGCTAGTTCAAGTTCTATGGTCTTGGTACGCTTGTGAATTGCCAGCCAAGCAGCCTTGTCTTTCTTCATCAACATGACTTTTTTACGAACATTTGGAAATACTGACCAAAATTTGAATGTCTGTACCATATCTGCACATATGCACCCATACCTGTAGTTTCCAAAAAAGGAAATATTCGTAAGTTATCTGGGTATTCGTAAATGTTTCTTGAGCTTTACAATTCTGGAGTGCTGGTGATTGTTGTTCCTAGTCCCAGTAACCAAGTTATGAGCACTTCCATAGTTTGTTTCACAACTTTTATGCAGTAAAGTTTCCCAAGATATTGCTGAAGTATCTCATCTTTAGGTGTCTGGCTCAAAAGTCTGAAATTCTACATTTGGTGCCTTACCATTTCTTTGGACAATATTTTTTTCTTCCCCAAAACACACGTTAGAAAAAGCAGCGTGCAGGTGACTCGCTTAATAACAGATGGCGGCATATGGTATTTTGCAAATTTAATCCCAAAGCTTCGGTCAAAAACTAATAAGTGATAAAGGAAATTCGTTTTCGTTTGCATGCAAAAACCTACCATCGGTTGCAGGATAAATGAACTGAGTCTGTTCCCTAAACAAATCCAGAAGATACAAGTCGCTGCCTCCTGGCTCCATAGGAAATAGGCCCAAAGGCCCGCCAATCAGCCGCGTGCTTTTGGGTTGGGCCTAAACTTATAAAAAGAACATTTGTAGTTCTTCGGCTTATCTAATAGTAATAGATAAAAAAGAGTCAAAAGCAACCTTATCCTTGAAAATTGCGAAAACTCCAGAGTTGGGATAAGCCCAATCAGGATTGAAATTTGGTTACGATCAAGCTTAGCGTCTTATTCCTGCCCGCGAAGTAATCGCAACACTGTCCTGGAAAACCTTATCCCTAAACTTGCAGAAAACCCAGCACCCCCCCTTTCCACAATTCGAATTCAAGGTATAATTTTTTGGTCAACTATCTGATCTTCCTCTTCCTTCTTCTGTTATACATTCTCTTTTCTTTTCTGGGTAGTTCCCTGTTTGTTTTATCATGTCCAAATTTTAAGATTGAAATTATCAATTTGTTCGTTCATAATTCTTGCATTGATTTCACCATGCCCAATTTTGAAATATTTGTTGTTTCTGATAATGTCTTATCTTTACATTGTTGAAGTATGGGTATCCGAGCCCGAGGCAATATGGATCGCCTAAGGACGATATGGACTCCTGAAATGGACCGATATTTCATTGATCTAATGTTGGAACAGGTCAATAAAGGTAATAGGTTTGATGATCATGTGTTCAGCAAAACAGCATGGAAGAACATGAGTTCATTGTTCAACGAGAAATTCAATTTTGAATATGAAACAGATGTTCTAAAAAATCGGCACAAAACACTGAGAAATCTGTACAGAGGTGTTAAGAATCTCTTAAATCAGAAGGTTTTTACCTGGGATGCAACGCGGCAAATGGTGATCGCTGACAATAAAGTCTGGGATGAATATATCAAGGTGCAATGCTTAATTCTTATGTGATAACTTTAATGGATTTAGTATTACATTTACATTATAGGGTCTTACAGGTTTTCTATTCATAGGTACACCCTGATGTGCGTCCTTACAGAGTAAAAACTATTCCCTACTATAATGATTTGTGTGTTATCTATGGAGATAGGATAGCTGGGAAAACCGGTAATAAATTCCATCCTTGATGCTACTAACTTTATTGTCTGGTGTATCTAATTGTTGGAAGGTTTCATATATTGTTGATGATTGGTTTATAGGTGACAATGTGCCTGAGACATCATCACACTTGGGTGAGGACAAAACTGGATCAGCCAGTCAGCCAGAATGTGTCAATGAGGGAGCTGTGGAGCCTGTTCATGAAATTGCAGCAGTAGATGAAGAATGTATCTCTGTGCCCCAAGAATTGAAGGACACGCCAGAGGCTATGCCAAATGCAACAACAAATTCACTGTATAGTCGTACTAGGACGAATTGGCAACCACCAATGGACCGTTTTTTCCTTGATCTTATGCTTGAGCAAATGCAGAAAGGCAATCAGATTGATGGTGTATTTCGCAAGCAGGCATGGATTGAGATGATTGCTTCATTTAATGCAAAATTTGGTTTTAACTATGACATGGATATACTAAAGAATCGCTATAAAACTCTAAGAAGGCAATATAATGTCATAAAGAATCTTCTTGAACTGGATGGATTTGCCTGGGATGATACTCGTCAAATGGTGACAGCTGATGATAGTGTATGGCAAGAGTACATCAAGGTATGTATCTATGTGTAAAACTCAAACTGTGCCTTTATAGCAAAATAATTCAGTCCTGTTACATATACCTTTTGCACCAGTTCCTCTAGTCTAGGCCATATTATCCATAAGATGTTCAGTTATCTTCTATTATACCTGAAGCTTACATAATTACACTTAGAAGCTACATAGAATCAGTGTAACATGTAGCTGAGGACTTTGGCAGAGAATATCCACCATCAAGAATTCATGGTGTCGTTTTGTTTTGTTAGGATAAAGAGGTAAAGTGGAAGATGGTACTGCCTTTATTTAATTATATATATTTTTATATTCATTTATTTATTTAATTATTACTATTTTCATTTTATTTATCTATTTGTATGGTAAAGTATTAAGCCTTCTGAGAAGTAATGGAGACTTTTGATGCATATTGTAACCCTCCCTTTATTCTATGGGATTTCAAAAGCTTTGGTGTACTTACATGCAGGGGCATACTGATGCACGACAATTCATGACCCGACCAGTGCCATACTATAAAGACTTGTGTTTGATATGCAGTGATCTATATCCTGATGAAAGTGACCGCTTTTCCCTTCAATGTGTAGAACCACAAAATGGGGTCCTAGAAATGAAGCCTCGGGTAGCAACAAAGAGTTCTCAGTCTCGTGCGGCATCAGTTTCCAGTGAAGATGAAATTGGTGACGTGCTGGAGCCAGCAACTGTGGGTTCAAGGACAATTGGGTCTAATCTTAAGTACAAACGTCAATTAGAAAACCAGTTAAATGCTACTCATTCAAAAAAATCACGAGGTGAAGATGACCGTATGGCCACTGCTCTCCGTGAGATGGCTACCGCTGTTTCTTCTTTAACAGAGAAGAAGGATGATGGGAACTCAAACTCCGTCTCAATAGAGAATGTAATTACAGCCGTACAGGCATTACCGGACGTGGATGAAGACCTTATATTGGATGCATGTGATTTCCTGGAGGATGAAATAAAAGCAAAAACATTTCTTGCGCTGGATGTCAAACTAAGAAAGAAGTGGTTGTTAAGGAAGCTTCGTCCTCAGAAGTGAGTTTAATAGAGTTTAATTCGATTTTTTTTAGCAGATTAGGCTGAGTCTCAGAATCAGCTGAGAACTTTTGACTGGAATCATTTAGATTTGTGTCATAGTGAATGTAAATTTAAGTTGGTTGGGCAAAGTTGTCCGTAAACAATTTAGCACATTAACACACACAAGAATCTTATTAAAATGGCTTTAGCTGTTAATACATTCCAACATGTCCGTACTCCATGTGTTCAGTCAACATCAAGAATTTGTTCGCCTTTACTGAACACTGCTTACATTTGTTAGTGCCTACGAAGCTTTAAATTCAGATAAACTAGCCAATTTAAGGATGGAAAAGGAAGTAAACAGAGCTGATATTGACGTTATGCACTAATGCTTTAACGACAGCAAAAATACAAGAGTTTTAACTCTGTTGTGGCCTAATTGATAAGATTGCCCTGCCAAATAAATTACATTACATTCTTGAATCTATCCTAGCTTTCTCTGTTAAACGATCGGCATGTTCGTTCAACACAAGAAACACGGATGATGGCAAATTTGTTAAAATTTGAAGTAGAGGACCATCAATTCTGTGCTGTCTTGTTCATAAGTCACCATCAAAGATGGTGGATAACAATAGTCCTTGTACAAACTCGCACCTCTTCGCCTTCTCCAAGTGCTCCACATCTGACAAGGGGGATGATTGAGCATCTCTGTCCACCATAAGATTATCATGAACTCGCATTCGGTGAAGGGGAAAAATCTTAAGTAAGAAAAAAGAGAAAGTAAAACCATATTTGACTGGTAATATATCATCTATAATTATTGTATTACAATTAACCACTCACAATTCATAATTGTTTGGGTCCATTAAAATTTTGTAAGAAGTCCACATTTATAAACTGTAAACCCTTGCATAATTTTTGTTGTGATTAGACAATTGCAGTTTAAATGCTCCTATCCTGATACCATTAAAAGCAGAAGGCATCGTCATTCTTATATGTCCCAAAAGTTGTGAAGCAAATGAAATCAATTAGAAAATACAAGATCTGCTCGACTATATGAGCCTAAAACTTGCTATCAGCCTTGCATTAAGTCAAATATTAAATGGAAGTAAAACCTCAAAACACATTGTTTGCATTCTTATTTTCCCAACAACCATTGTTGGTTATTTTTCTAGTCCCTTCTTCTGCCTCAGCATATAAGTCAAAGTGATTTCGGTGTGTGGTCATTTGTTTAAGCTCCAGAAATTTGAAAAACAAAAATTTTTCATTGCCATTGTTATTTTTCATGAACACTTATTTTCTCATATAAATGCCTCTTGAAAAGAAAATAACATAATCATGCTGTTATAGCTCAGTTTCAAAAGGATTTAGCTTAGCTCAACCACTGAAGACAACATCTTAAAACATGATAGAATAACTTACTTTTCTAACATTTTCTCATCTGAGCATTTTTCTTCCAAGGTCACTTCAGTAGAAGAGGCAGACTTTACGCTTTCAGATGAATCAGCTGGAGGTACATAGGAAAGAAATGAAAGCAATGGATCAGGTGCTGTATTGGAGGAAGAAATTGAAGACCATGACCTGGAAAGAAGAGATTGATAATGCGCATTGGGCAACTCCTTTCTCGAGGAAGAAAGAGTTGCATAAGAGTCGCCTTTACAAAATTTTAATTTGTGGTTACTGTAATCACAGGTCAAGGGACACAAGTCATGAATCTCAAACCATCATCATAGTCACGCAATTTAAGTTACAAAATAAAAGGGACTATTTCAGAGAGATTCAATAATAGAAGGAGGAGGTGATGACAAACCTTTCAAGCAAAATGACATAATCTAGAATAGGAAAATGAGTTGAAGAAAGAGAAAAAAAAAAGAAAAATGAATAACACCTCCAACTCAAATGAAATAAAAGGATATCTTGAAAATATTCCCATGCTGTGTTGTTATGTGGTCAACCATGTTCATCCCTACCCTCAGACCACAAACAGGACATACCTGCAATTATAAGCAATAATGATTAGCTGATTGTCTAAAATGCAATTAAAATTAAGCTATATAGAAGTACCCTGATTATTCTGATATTTGATAAGAATACTTCCTTTTTGCTCTTCTCAAACAGAACACTTCATATTATGTAATGAGGCATATTTAGAAAAAATTCTATAAGCTAGAACATAACCTGACAATGTAAAAAGCCCCAGTTCCCGCCAACAGGCCAACACATGCACAAGAAAGAGAGAAAGAGGGAGAGAGAGAAAATGCTGTGACATCTTAACTTCAATCAATGAAACCAAAGTAGGGCAACCAAAATGGTGCTAGAATATTATGAATGAATGTCAGTTTCATAAGAAAATGGGCATAATGGACTGATAATGAAGACAAAAAACCATTAAAAGGGTGAAGGAAAAAAACAAATTTGTCCATTAGCTCTAGCAATCATCCATGCAGTACCAGTGACAGAAGAAAATACAAGTCATATAATTTGGCAAGATGGATGAAGTCGATAAACACTTGAAAAGCTTCAATGAGTCAGAATGGGTAAACAAGAACAATTTGAGCCATACAAAAATGCAAGATGTTAGAACATGTTGGCTGGTAAAAAATTTAACATGTTCATCAAATGAGTGACACTAGAATAATAATGGGGGAAGAAAAACAATTGAAATTATTTCAGTTCTAATAACATGTATTTATCAAACCAAGCTTTCTAGCTGCATTACCAAACACCTTCAAATGCCATTCCTCTTTCCCCAAGTGGAAAACGCATAGCATTAAAAGATCAATCAGCTAAGTTCACATAGCTGAGATTCAAGGCATTCTTGGGCTGAGTCAACTTATGCACAGCTAGTAAAAGATTCCATCTTTTCTAACTCTAACCATTATCCACAATTACCAAAGTAAAGCATATCCAGGAAGAGCAGAAAAATTCCCTAAATATCAATTCTAACAATCTTTCAAAAATAACAAACTTTTATGCCAAACAAGAAATCCAGAAGGGAAGTGCGTACCCCATAGCCAGCTTCAAGATGATGCTCCTCATCAATATGGCAGCACAATCCAAGTAAATCAAAATCCTCAGAACAATACGGGCAGGGGTATTCTGTCTTCAATTCATCGTCTTCTTCAATCTCTTCAAAATCAATACAAAGATCTGCTTCAAAAACAAGAAAACACCGTTTCACTAACCAAACAAAACCCATAAAACCAAAACCCAAAATGAAAAAAAAAAAAAACTAACCACTTTGGGATTTAAGAGTGGACTGGTAGCTCCTTGATGAAGCTGAGAAACCAAAGCTCCAAGTATCATCCTCCATAGAAACTTGATCACGCTCTAAAACTGTCAGCTGGCTTTGTGTCTAAAAGCGAAAGAATCTAACACGGATGCTTCTTAGATTTTTCCTCTTTTTTACCTCTCGCCTTTCTGGTTAGGGACAAAGAGCAAGTTAAATGGAGGAGGAAATGAAAATCGGGGAACGAGCTGGGTTACTTTTGTTTCTGTTTTTAAGGGTGCAAGGGGGAGAGCCGTATGCATAGCGAACACAAATTCCTACTTTCTGAAATGACCAGCAACTCCCGCATATTTATCAAGAACTACCCCCAAAAACCACGTTGTAAAAACACCTTTTTGGATTATTATTTTATTTTATTAATCTTTTAATTACTTTTCTGTCCGTCATATTTTGATTTATTACCGAACTGACATATTGAGGTTCGTTTCATGAAAGTGCGAGTTCCGACCGGGGTTGTTCTTGTCTTTTTGCTGTTGTTTTTTCCTTTTTTTTTGTTTATGTATTTTTTAAAGGCAAAAAGGTCTTTTCCTTTGTAACATATTCATTTTCCTGGAAGCATAGTGAAGGACTGGACTGGACTCGGAGTGGTGAAAGTGACAACTGCATTGCCCTTTTGATAAGTTAAGAAAATAAAAGAAACGAAAAAAATTCAGTGGATAAGATAACAGTTTTAGTTGAAAAACAGAAAGATAGAAATCTATATTTAGTCTTCAATGAACTATCATTGTTATTTTCAAATTCATTTTTAGATGAAAATTTTATTTCAAATTCATTTTTTGTTATACGAAAGTTTTGTCTAATGATACGTTATTTATTTATTTATTTATTTATTTATTTCTTCCACTTAAATGTGTTAAATATCAATGGGTTCAGAAAAAAAAAAAAGAGAATTATAATTAAATACATATTTGTCTCATGTCACGTTTTTTAATTTGATATTTAGAAAATAAAAATTCTCAATAGATACTTTAACTTAATTTCGTTTGAAAGTAACAGTTATTTGGATAATATGTCTTAAGGAATTGAAATTTAAGTACTTAATGAAAATTTTATTTTATATACCAAAGTAAAAAAGTGATAGAGTATAGAGGATAAATATGTATTTAATTTAATTATAATATTTCTTCAAAAATATTCAATTATAATTTATTTTAATACATGTAATTTTATAGAAATAAAATATACTTAAACATAATTAAATGCTATAAAGTGGAAGCATGAATGTATTGCTTAAAAACGTGAAAATGAGGTAAAACTCAATCCATAATATGTTATTGTCGATTCATCATTGCTACTAAATTTAAGTAATGAAAAAGGAAAGTGTAGTGATAAGAAGTAATGGTACAAAATTTGTGTCATTGGCATTAGCATGTCTTTTTTTTTTTTTTTTTTTTGTTATATAAGAAGAGTAAAACCTTAATATAAGAAATTAAATTTGGTTCGAAATTAAATTTTTAATTTTTTTTAAGTGTTTTTAATCATTAGATTAAATATTTGAAGACGTATTAGTATGTCTCTATTTAAGCAGAATAGTACTTTGATTCTACATATAACTAATAAAGCATTAATTTAAAAAAATTTTGGTTCATGAAATTGATATTATGACCTAAAAAAACACAGTTCGTATATTATTAAAAGGGTCATCTGGCAGCGTCACAGCCACCTTTTATAACCGGAATCTAAAACGACATCAAAACGTCCCTGCCAAAGAAAACCTAATTATTATTAACAAACATGGATAGATCCAAAATGAGGCCCAAATAAAACCCAAGGTCTACAGAAAGAACGGCCCAAGTACTGGGTGTTGGCCTTTTATAGTGGCTAATTATATTTTTCGTTTGCATCCAGTTCCAGTTCCTAGTTGGCCCAGGTGTATGGGAACGAGTAGAACAGCATCCATCTTTCGAAGAGGAGGATTTGCTTCAAAGCTTTTTCCAGCTTCAATTCAAAGCTTTGATCTTATAATAATTCAATTCAAGCTTCAATTATTCCGCCACTTTGTCATACCCAAAACCCTAAAAAGTTCCCAATTTTCTTTCTAATTTATTTGCTGGTTCCCAACGACAACTGTCTCCATTTTTCTTTTTTTCGCAATGGCGACTAGAAACCGAACCGTCCAATACAAAAAGCATAGAGATGCCTTAAATAGCGTTCGAGCTCCTCTTTCTTACTCAGCTTCCGGTTCGGGCGGTCCGGTTATTGAAATGGTTAACGCTCCTTTCCTTCGTTCCAATCGTTCTTCTTACACTCCTCTCAGCACCGAAGAAGACCCTTGCCCTTCAAGGTAACTACCTACCTCTCCATTTCTTTTCTCTTTTTTTCTTTTTAATAGAAAAAATTGTTATATTTGCTTAATAATTGCTACCGACTTTGATTTTGTTTTATTTTGTGTTGCAGTAACGGTGCGTTTAAAGTTGGTTTGCCGCCAGCGTGGGTTGACGATTCGGAAGAAATTGCGGCAAATATTCAACGAGCCAAGATCAAGATGGCGGAGTTAGTCAAAGCTCATTCCAAGGCTTTAATGCCTTCGTTTGGAGACGGCAAAGAAGATCAACGCGCGATTGAGGTTTTAACCAAAGAAATTACAGATATATTAAGGAAATCTGAAAAGCGATTGTTAACGCTTTCCAGCAACGGATCTTCCGAGGATTCCAATCTCAGAAAAAATGTACAGGTAATTATTACTAATTCTTATTCTCCAACAATGTTAATTTTTTTCTAGCTTCAGTTGAAGATTATGAGAATTTGGTATAAATTAATCTCTGATTATTTTATTCACTGATTTACTACTTATATTTATTTATTTTGAAATTCCTCTTGGGGCAGCGTTCACTTGCTACAGACCTTCAGAGCCTATCGGTGGACCTGCGGCGAAAACAATCAACTTATTTGAAACGGCTACAACAGCAAAAAGAGGTTTGATTGGATTGATTTTTGCTTAGGTCGATGTTAATCTCTATGAAGCTTTCTGTGACTCTGATTGTTATGTGCATTACTTAACTGTGTGTATATTTGTTTTGTGGTGTAGGGACAGGATGGTGTTGACTTGGAGTTGAACTTGAATGAGAACAGATATAGATTGGAAGACAGTGAATTCAGTGATGTGGTACGCCATTTTCTAATTTGTACTTTCTTATTACAACTTTTTTGATAGGTGGACTGATTTCTATAACTAGGATTTAGGTGTTAGGTGATTTGAATTTGAGTGGATCCGAAGGATGTCACACTCATACGAAACATAAATTATGGATACTTTAGGCGTTGTAGTATGCTTGAACAAATTTCACATGTTTTTTTGAATGTTTTGGTATGTAATGGATTGCAAGGCCTGAATCATTTATGATCATTTATGATTTGATTAAACCAATTTCATGTTCTAATATAAATAACACGGTGGCTGACTAATGCAGGGTTTTAATGAGCACCAAATGAGCAAGCTGCAGCAGAGTGAGTTCTCAACTGTAGAAAGGGAAAGAGAGATCACTCAGGTATCTGGATGCGTTTTGTTTATGCTTTCAATGGTAGTTCTTTTCTAATGAATATAGTCATTTTGTAGGTTGTCAAGTCAGTGAATGAGCTTGCTCAAATCATGAAAGATCTCTCAGTTCTTGTGATAGACCAGGTCTGAGTGGATCCTTGTATTATGTTATTAATTTTTGTTATTTGATGCTTGCTGATACATTTTTCTAATATCTTCTATCAGGGCACAATTGTTGATCGGATAGACTACAACATTCAAAATGTTGCTACGTCAGTTGAGGAGGGACTCAAGGAGCTCCAGAAGGTTCTGTATTTCTGCCTCTCTCTCACTCATGCGTGGACACACATGGACAAACTCATTCCCTTATGTTGCACCCATATCCTGAACCAATTGCGCTTCCACAACCCCTGGATACTGTAGTCTTAGATTGTTGTGGTTTTGGAAAATTTTCAGAGTTACGTATAAGACAATCATGTTGCTTATGTTTGGAATTGCAGGCTGAACGAACACAGAATAAGGGAGGGATGGTGATGTGTGCGACAGTGCTTGTAATTTTATGCTTCATCATGATTGTCCTTTTGATCCTCAAAGCATTATTCTTGTGATCGTGTTCTCGTACAGTACTGACAGCAGCTTAGCATCTTAGTTTGACATGATTCATAATCATATCATGTATATATTCAGATCAGCAGACCGCCAATGATGTTCCTGAGGATGATCCTGATAGGGTGTTATAAACACACATTGGTCGTGGCCTGTGGGGAATGCGAACAAAGTTTTGTACTGCACTTTTTTCTTAAGAGGCTTGTATATAATATATTTTAGAAAACGTTTTCAAATAGGTGCTAGAATTTTGATTGTCAAGTATTATCTTTGACATTGTAATGAGGTGAGCTTTACTCGTAACAATTCTTTGTGCGACTTTCTCATAACTAATGAAAAAGCAGAAGGCAGTCTGGGGTTGTCTTGAAATCTTGATGTTCTGGCGTCATGATTGTGCTGACCCTCATTTGATTCAAAACTACATAGTTGTAGCCTTTAATCTTACCTGTAAGTAGGGGTTGATAATGGGCTAAGTGTATATTTTGGACTGGTGCCTTGTCAACAAAACGAAATTGCTCCCAAGCCAGGCTTTGTTTGGAGGTGGTCCACCTCTATCTGTGGCCTGTGGGCCTCTTACTACTAAAACATGATTTAGGGTTCATTTGTATGATTTAGGGTTCATTTGGATGAGCAATGAAATTAACTCTAATGAAATTAAAAACAGTGATAGATGTGGATTAGTTGTAATTTTGAGATTAAAATTAATAGTGAGATATGTGTTTGGATGCAAGAGCAACGGTGGTGGTAAGATGAATTATAATAAAAAAATTATTATTAAATATATTAATTTAAAGATGATTAATAAATTATTTTTTATCTATATTTTAATATTATTTAACATTAATATATTAAAAATCTATTCAATCAAAATATTGATATATATTAAATTATATTTAAAAATAATTAAAATTTTAAGTGTTAAAAACTATTTTTATCTATTTATTTTTAATAAATAAGGCATTAAATGTCAAGGATATTTTTGTCCTTGCACTATACTTTTAAGGATAAAAAAGAAACAAAAAAATTTAAATAGAGATATTTTTTGGAAATAAATGTTACGGTGAGTTTGAAAATTTTCACTGCACCTTAAAGGGTTCAGTCACAAACTGAAGATGCAGTGCAGTTGATAAACACCAATTGCACTGACTCATGTTATCCAAATGCAAAAAATGATGCGATTAAACTCATAAAATGCTTCAATCGCACTTTACCATGCCTTCGGTAGAATCCAAATGGAGCATTAATAAAAGTGTCAGCTGAGTTTGAATTAGCAAGCGTTGTCTGAGTTTGGTGCCACTGAATCAAGAGGTATCAATTTTCTGTAGAAAATGACACAATACTCAAGTTATCTCATGGTAAAAATATAAAATAAAAGATAAAATTATCATTTAATATGAGAATTTAAATATTTTAAAATTAATTTATTTTTAAGTTATCCACACATTCAAATGAAAAAACTATACAGAATTTTTATAAACGGTCAAGTTCATCCCAGATTTAATTAATTTACAAAGATGAAATAAACAATCCAGTTCTATGTATGTGTATTCGTAAATCAAACCTCCGAAAGGCACGAGTTTGCTGAATAGGTAAAACAATAATGTCATGAGAATCTATCCCATGGGCACGGTTCCATTGTAAAAGTCATGTTTATTATATTTTCGCCATAATTGGGAATAACAGTAAATGAATACTTATTCATCAAAAGTAATATAAATAAATAATAATAATTATTATTATTATAATAATATAGAGCATGTGCTGGTTGAAAACACGCCTGCTGTGAAACTAAATATAGCAGATAATTACTCAAGAAATAATGAAGATAAGAAAATATTACTCTTATTAATGATAATACGAAAGACCCTAGATTTTTTCGCTCCTTGAAGACTATACCGCAACTTCTTTTTCAAACTCTAAAAAAACCCATAGGGTTACAAACCTCTAGATTTCGTCCCCACCTTCCTTCACAAACCAAATCAAACAAACCCTATAGAGACGCCGATTGCCTGACTGAAGATCATCAACAGTCCAGATAGGAAAAAGTTTTTGAAGAACATGGAGATTATCTAATACACTAATCAAAAGTTGTAGAGTGGATACAAGTTTAGGCCACCAGCTTCTTGCTTGCTATTAGTATTTACAGTAGTGTCTGCTTCCTTTTTTTTTATTGTTTTATTTCCTTCAATTTATTATCGGATGTTTTGAATAATGGGTGAAAAGAAAATACAAAAATCCGTTTTGGAGAAAAGTAGTGCAATGGATAAAGTTGGAAATTATGTTGTTGGTGAATTTCCTGCTGGTTTGAAGATTCTTATTGTTGATGATGATAGAACATGTCTTCTAGTATTAGAAAGAATGCTTCGAAAGCTTTTATATGAAGGTACAATTGGTTTAATTGACTTTATTTTTATAATCTTTATATATTTTTTTTCCTATAAAACAGTACTCCATATTCTTTAATTTTCTTCAAAGACTTTTTGTTATTCATTCATCTTGTTCATAATTATTAGGGTTATTTTTTCAGTGTTTTGGTTTTTTAATTCAGAAAGCGAAAAATATATATCACTTTAGATTATTTTTAGAATTTTTTAGAGGGTGGGGGTTAATTTTTACAGCTGGTTGTTGGAGAGTTTCTCATAAAATAAAGTAAAACACAACAAAGTTTTTTTAAAAAAATCTCTCACCTTTTCTTTAGACGATGAATTAGGGTTACAGTTAAATACTGCAAACTGATCACGGTTATATCTTGATTATATGTTTTTGTTGTCAATAACTCATTCTTTATATATTTGAAATCTCAATGAAAAACATGATTTGATTCTGCATTCCTAGGTTAATATCTATCAAATATATATATATATATGAGAAACTATTAATGTTTTATCTCATGATTTTCTAATTTCATGTGGTGATTTTCAGTTACCAAGTGTCAGCTAGCAAGGGACGCCCTTGCTTTGGTTCGAGAAGACAAAAACAGATTTGACATCGTCATATGTGATTTACATATGCCTGATATGAACGGATTTAAGCTTCTTGAGATCATTGGATTAGAGACGGACTTGCCGGTTGTTAGTAAGTAAAATACTTGCATAAGATTTTACTAGTTCCATGCTTTAAAACATGTTATTTTATTAAGCCATAATGGATTCTTGGATTTTGTCCGATGCATCTTCTTTTCGAGTTTGTTCAAATAAATTTATTTAAGTCAAGCAAATTCATTCGAAATTACGTGAACGATTTTATCCGACTAATATATTTGATTCGAATTGGCCTGTTTATGTCATACAGTGATGTCTTCAGATGATGGAAAGGGAGTTGTTATGAAAGGTATAATCCATGGAGCTTGTGATTATTTGATAAAACCAGTTCGCATGGAATCAATTAGACTCATTTGGCAGCATGTGGTCCGCAAGAAAAAACGTACCTTGGGAGAGTTTCGACAGCCTGGGAACATTAATGTTAGTGACAGGTTATTGCTATTAGAACAAGCTAACAATGCTGTTGATCAAATGCCTGTAAGAGATCTGCAAAGCCTGAAACGGACAAGAGAAGATGAAGATAATGATGGGGGATCCTCTGATGAAGTGACGACTGCAAAGAAGCAGAGGATGGTTTGGACACAAGAGCTCCATGACATGTTTGTAGCTGCTGTAAATCAACTGGGGCGTGACAGTATGAACTTCTCTACTGCATAGTTTTCTTTTGTCTATTTTTAGCATATATTAATGAAATTAAACGTAGCCACTAATTAGTAAATTAATTTTCTTTATCTGCAATTGCTTGCAAAATTTGTTTTCTTTTACTTATCCAACAAAAAAAAAAATTGTTTTCTAGTCTTAACTAGTATCATCCTTTTGTTTTCATATCTGAGCATGTTATTGCAGAGGCTGTTCCTAAGAAAATTTTGGAACGAATGCAAGCTATGAATGTTAATGGTCTTACAAGAGCAAATATTGCCAGTCATCTTCAGGTAAAATTTTATTTTCAATGAAATTTCTTGACAGATCCAATATTATTCAAGATTAATTAAACTTTGCCTGAAAAATTCACTAATTTGGTTGTCATTTTCTGACCAAAAAAAGACTCATAATATGTAATTATATTTTGCAGAAATACCGCATGCATCTTCAAAAGAGAGGTGAACCTTCGACTAATAACAGAGATCCCAATTCCTTTTTCGAACAAGCCTCTTCATTTCGCCAGCACAACCTACAATTCCAACCCACAGGCACTTCATGTCTACTTCCACTTCAAAATCACATCACCCCACAATCAAGTAGTTTTGAGAGATCAGCAAATGAAAATTTAATAAGTACAGGTCCAAGTCATGATCAAGGGGGCAATGTTTTTGACTCAATTGTTTCAGAATCAAGTCGCTGTCTCCCAACTGAATTCTCCTTGCATGATCTCTCTCGTGCCAACTTGTTATATCAAAATGATTTTCCTGGTGGTGATGTTGTCATCTCAAATGAAGAATATTTGTACAGAAACATAGGAAATGTTAATGAGCTTATTTCACATCCCCTTTCAGCTGTGGATAATCAGTTGATCTATGAGCCCTCGCTTTTGGTCAGACAATATGATCAGGACGACTTCTTTCGTGGACCATTTGTATAGGTTTGCTTCCATTCAGTATTTTATGGCTACTTTTTTATGGTTATGAATAATCTAATCAAATAGTTAATACTGATTCATGTTTTTGGCAGCAAGAGATTGCAGTCAACGGATATCTGATATATATCAGTTCAACCCCGACGGCTAGCCGTAAAAATTTCTTCTTCATAAAAGTAATTTTAATTCCCTACGATCTGTACTTCTCCTGCAGTTTTCTCTTGTTTTAAACGGAGTGTCAGACAGAAGATTAGATTCAAAATTTTCTTTGAAGGGTACATTTTGTTGTTTCTTTAAATTAGAACATGCAGCGAGTAGGTTATATTGGAACGAGTTTTCAAGTTCAAAATTTTCATCGAAATTTGGAAGCTCTGGACCGAGCTAGTCATAGCTTGTTTTTGTCAGTGCTGAAATTTTTATTTCCATTTAGTAATACTTTTTATGAAACACTGCTTGGCAGAGTACATACCTTTTCTTTTTACCATTTCTTTCTTCTTATCTTGTGAAAACTACTTCTTTGAAAAGCCAGGAACTTGCTCAAATCTTTTGGATTATTGTTATAAAAAACTATATTAACTTTTTAAGAAATTGCCTGTCAATCCATCGCAATATAAGTCTTCAGAAATTTGGAGGATTATACAGTTAACAAAATGGATGAATAATTGAATACACGCAGTAAATGCTAGTACATCCAACTATATGCAGTAATAGTTCAATTAATGCTAAAAATCCACCCTCTAAACCCAAAGCCCAAATATGTATTGGCCTTAAGAAGAACAAATGGAAAAAGAAAAAAGAAAAAAATGAATTTGAAGCAGCTATAATAACAAATTCATCCAATCACTAAGCCAATCCAATAGCTATCACTGCATTAGCAATAGAAGAGCAAGTGTTAGAAAGCCAAAAAAGCTGGTTGCTGCACAGATCCTTGGAGCTTTGTTGGGAAGTATAGTGGGAAGTGCACACTCGTCTCCGTTAAACAATACTTTGGATGGAAAACCATCACCTTTTGCCACATTAATACCAGGTGTAGACTTCTTTGTGAACGAGATGACCGATTGCTGAGTACCAGGAACACATGGATCCTTTTTTGGATTGCGACCATCTGTTTCTGCCAGAAGATAATTCAATCCCGGACGACCTTGCATGAATATTGTATTGTTGGAGCCAAGTAGCACACTTCCATTGAAGGAGTAGACTTCTTCAAAGCCTGATACTGCTTTGTCCAATTGAACGGCTACAAACCAATCTGCAAAGCTAGTTTCACCCCAGTTAAAAATAGTGATCCTTGCACTCCATCCACCTCCGTAATCTCATAATAAGTGCCAGTATATGCTAACTCCACAGTTATCTCCACATGGCATTGGATTTGGAACTGTTCGTTGATTTATATCAGCCCACTCCAAAGCTTCAACAGTTCTGTTCTCCAAAGGAATAAGAGGAGCATCAGGTCGTAGAAGTAGAGCTGGCTTTGTAGCACTGCAGGTCTGGCTTGGGTTGCCGTTGCAGCCACTGTTGGTAGTTTAAAATATGATGTAAAGATCACTTATATATGATTTAAAAGAAATTACTTATGTTATTTAAATAATTGAATTAAGTGTTGGAGTGAGCTAAGTTATTAGGGCTTATTAAAAGTTTTTCTTAGTGGGTTAAACAATTTTAAAAGTCAAAGATAATTTTAAAACTCAAACAAACATACTCATGTGTACCATTTTAATATAATACATATTATACACACATATATCATATTTATGTGTTTGTTTGTTGTTGCGTTTTAAGATTTATTGATTGAAATTAATCTTATTTACATTTCATTTATTTTGATAAGTACTAATTTGTATAGTAATATAGTATTTACCAATAAAATTCTATAATTTTTTTTTTCATATTTAACCTTGCAAAGATTTCATCTATCTATAATTATACAAACTTACTTATTAAAAATTTTTTACTCTTAAAATTCTTCTTCTACGAGTTTAATTTGCCTATTAAAAATCTTATTTCTTTTAAAAAAAATTTTTTATAAATTTTTTTATCCATCAAATAATATATAACAAATTTTTAATAAATTTCAAATAAATCTCTTATGTTATTTAATTCATTATTGCTAACAAAAACAGCAGGCCGAGACTAAAAGCTCCTTGTGTTGAAACGACAAACACTCTCCAAGACTTGAGCTCGTGACGTCCGTTGTTTAGAACATTTAAAGTGGACTCGAAACGGTATGCTTGGTTGGTTGGATCGGTGGGAGCGATGCGATAGCCTGCAGTGCAGGTGTAGGATAAGAATATGCCGTTGCATGGGTCAGAAGCTGGCGCTGGAGCTAGAGCTGGAGATGGGGTTGGGGTTGAGAAAGTGATGTGTTAAAGAGAGAAACTGAAAGCAAAAAGAAGGTGAAGATGATGATGTGATGGAGTTTGTCAGCTGCCTCAGCCATGGTTGATGGGTTATGTAAGAGAAAATTGTTGAAAAGGGGTTGGGAAGTTGGTATTTTTAAGGAGATGAGCTTAAAGAAATGGAAATGGTGAATGGCTGTGGAGTGCCGATTCCGTTTCTTTTATTCTTCATTGCAACTTTGCAAGCATAAGCAAAGAGCAAGAACTGGTCTTTGCTCTCTTCTTTGATTTTCTTTTTCTACATTTCCTTTTATTTTTTCAAAAGACTTGGTTTTACTTGTGCACTTTTTTTTTTTATAAAGAAGACCAAGTTTTAGTTGATAACGAGTACACTTGATTGGCTAAATCTACAAATATTTACTTGGAAAAGTCTCTTTTCTGCATATATATATATATATAAAGAATATAATCTTTTTTAATTCTTAATTTATCTTAACTCTATAGTCCTTTATATATTTAATTCGCCTGAAAAAGAATTTACTTAAAAAATGAAAACTTAAGTATGGTGCCTAGATATGATTGTGGAGATATGTTAGTATGTATTGGGAGTAAAGAAATTATTAGTTAATTTTGTACCATAAAGCTATTTACTAGGACAACTTACCAAAGAATAATGGGGTGCAATTTGTTGTTCCACATATGTATTCATTTGCCAAGAGGGGAAAAACAAGTTTTCCCAGTATCCTTTACCTGTCTAACTAAATTGGAAAAAATATATATAATTTATTAAGATGAAATCCCAATCTCAAAGTCTTAATTTTGTTTGGAACGTGGACGTCTTTTTTGTAAAAGTCTCTTTCTTCTTTAGTTTTTAATTTTTGGCCATTAATAAATATATGTAAAAACTGTTTACAGATTCACATACTACTACTAATGCTACGTCTTTTTTTATGTTTCTACTTTAGTAACTTTTTTTTTTATTATTTCTTATTATTAGAGGAATCGTTTGTATGGCCCACCTGCGCTCTCTCTCTCTCTCTCTCTCTCGCAAAATGTCACTGTTTTTTTTGGATATGATTTCAAAATCAGTTTTTTTTTTTTTCTGGCGCTGAGTTTTGGTCGAATAAATTATTGCTGCAAAGGAAGTGCAGATCCCAAAAGTTTGAATCATCGACCCCACAAATTTTGTGACATTAATTTATTTGTGACTCAATTTTTATCTTTTTGCACCGTTTAGATAAGTCGACCGTTGGACGTTAAAAGCCCTCCACTTTTTGACTTTTCTTTTCATCCTGGGCCCTGAACAAAAAATTTTCGACCGTTTCAAGTTAAAAAGTAGCCGTCCGATACTATCAGATCCACGGACCAAATTAGCCGACCGTTAATATAAACCTTTTTGGCTCTTAATAGAAGAAATTCCTTTCACTTCAAAATTCAAATGCAACCGCTGCTTGCAAATGCACCACATTCATTTCTCAATCCAAAAAAAATTTTCATCTTTCTTTTAGAATCTTTCAGTTTTTTCTTCTGGGTTTTTCTCCGTTTCCGCGTTTCTCTCTAGTATCTTTTGAGGGTTTTTTTCTCTTTTTAGAGAAGTGAAATTCATAGTAAAGATGGTGAAAACGGCCTCGTCTCCATCTTCTTCTCCGGTGACGATAACGGTTTCTTCGGGAGGCAAAGAAACAGGGAGCAGAAGCATGGGCTTGACTAGTCCAGTTCCACGTGCTTCAATTTCAAACAACCCAAATTCCCCTAGTCCTCTCGGGAGCAGAGGAAATAGAAGGGCTTCAAGTGGAGGAAGATATTGCTCAATGTTAAAAGACGATCCTGTTGAAGAGATAAACTCAGAATTCGTGACCTACACTGTCCATATCCCTCCAACTCCTGATCACCAATCCATCTCAGCCTCACAGACAAGCCTTAATGAAGATGGAAAAGATGGGGTGAAGCTGAAGCCTGAGAGGAGTTTTATTTCGGGTACTATTTTCACAGGAGGGTACAATTCCGTTACTCGTGGCCATGTCATTGATTGCTCCTTGGAAAGACCTGAGACGTTGAAATCAGGCTTGATTTGTGGAATGAAAGGGTGTGATGAGAAAGCAATTCAAGGCAAATGTGAATGTGGGTTTAAAATTTGTAGAGACTGTTACTTGGATGGTGTGGGAAGTGGTGGAGGCAATTGTCCTGGATGTAAAGAGCCTTACAAGGATGTTAGTGATGGTGATGACGATGAAGATGAGGTTAGGTCTGAAGCAGAAGATCAGGCTTTGCCCTTGCCTTCAATGGCAGATTTCAAGTTGGATAAAAGGCTTTCACTTGTGAAATCATTTAAAGGGCAGAACCATCCACCGGATTTTGATCATACGAGGTGGTTGTTTGAGACTAAAGGGACTTATGGGTATGGAAATGCCGTGTGGCCTAAAGATGGTTATGGGGTTGGATCGGGGGCTAATGGCTTTGAGCATCCACCGGATTTTGGAGAGAGAAGTAAGAGGCCTTTGACTAGGAAGGTTGGAGTTTCTGCGGCAATTCTCAGTCCGTACAGGTAATTCAATTTATAATTCAACAGCTCTTATTTGCCTACTAATTTTCGTCGAGTTGATTAATTTTACTTTGTAACGTTGGTCATTCTCTTGTACTAAGGGTTATTGGAATGTGAACCGATATTTCTTGCTTTATAGATCGTTTGTGCACGAACAGTGAACTAATTTCAAATATAATAAATCTTATGTTAATATAATGATCTGAATTTAAGTATCAACAAGTTGATTAAGTACAATGTGACTTCAAGTTTTTAACCTCTCTCTTTCTCTCTTTATAGTAATGTTGCAGTGATCTATATCTTACGTTGAAGTTAGTTTTGAATCTATGGTTGGTGCTACATCTTGAATTTATATTTGTTTGTATGCAGACTGCTTATTATACTACGTCTTGTTGCCCTGGGTTTCTTTCTTACATGGAGGATTAGGCACCCAAACCGTGATGCAATGTGGCTATGGGGAATGTCCATAACGTGTGAGCTTTGGTTTGCCTTTTCATGGCTTCTAGATCAGCTTCCTAAGCTCTGTCCTGTAAACAGAATAACTGACCTCTCGGTTCTTAAGGAGCGTTTTGAGTCTCCAAACCTTCGTAACCCAAAAGGAAGATCAGACCTTCCAGGCATTGATGTTTTTGTTTCCACGGCTGACCCAGAAAAGGAACCCCCTCTTGTCACTGCAAACACCATCCTTTCAATCCTAGCTGTTGACTATCCAGTAGAAAAACTTGCTTGTTATCTTTCAGATGATGGTGGATCTCTTCTGACGTTTGA